TGTAATACTAATATGATGATGGCCTCTAACTACATGTTGAAGTAAGAGAACCCTACTTTGATAGAAGTATGTCAGTCTGTATCAAAATATCTGATAGAAGGATAAGACAAAATTCATGTTTACTTATTCATCAATGAGGCAAACGTGTTGTTGCATGTTGCTACATAACCTATTATCTAACTCAGGTGGGTGTAGAAATGGGGAAAAGCTCAATGCAACCTTCGAGACTATTCTAGAAAAGACATGAGCAAAGCAAGCCAGACATATTCAAGTAAACAACCTATAACACAATATAACTGTGGTGGGTTGTTTACCCTTTTACATTCCTTGGCTGTGGTCAATAACACATTCTTGATGCATACATGCAGTTACACCTGTCATAAGTGAGCACATATACAGTAGGAACATGCCAGTTTTTCATCAGAGGTGTATGCATTTGGACAATATATAATTATTTATATGGGAATAAAAATATAAAACATATTAAAGCCATTAAACATTTCCCAAAATTCTTGTCAAAACTGGGAATTAAAAAATCATACCAAATTCAGACTAAGAAATGATCAAAACATTCTTTTTCATGATTTTTAGGTTATCAATAAATTTTGAACAGGGAGCAAGTAGTTTTTCATTTTTCAACTACTTTATGGACAACTGGCGACCAGTTATCCATAAAGGCAAGTTTGACTGTACTCCCTACGTCCTCAGCTTTGATCATACATTCCAAAAACAAGTCTCCTTCTTACAAACTTGCCCCATTAAAAGGTGAGAAAGGGACAAAGTGATGAACTCTGAAAGCTGATCTCACATAATATATAGATTTATTTTGTTTTATTGAGCTTTTTATGTATAGTTTGATGTTTGAATATCACTGGAGAGTAAAGAAGCCAACTCAATAAAAGCTGCCTAGATATGTTTTATGAAATCAGGTAGTCAAATATCATTATCAGATAACCTGATAAGTAATATAAAACTATCAATGGTAGCAATCTAAAATAAAATAAAACAATAAAATATTAAAACAAGTAGAACAGAAAATATCAAGCTTAATAGTCAATAAATTCAATTTACAAGCCTCACTCAAAAGAGTAGTCATCTGGTCCTAAAAATATAGTAGTTTTGGAATTAAACAATACTAAACAGAAAGGAGGAAAATAATACAGTGTATATCTGAACGCCTCTCAAAGCTGAACACCTCTCATACTTTTTTCCTATATTTTTGTCATCTTTCATTGACTTACATGTTTATAAAACCTTGACAAATATGAACACCTGCTTATATGAACACTTGTGACCAGTCCCAGAGGTGTTCCTATTGGACAGGTTTTACTGTTGTAATTTCCAAGTATATTTGCAAGAGTTGAATCCTGGATTCTGAACCTTGTTAAGAAAATACCTTTGCAGCAAGATTGTAAATGAGCCTCATTAAGATGTAATCTATGAATTGAAAGAATGACGTAAGTCTGCGTTTACTTCTTGTTGGTCATGGTAACTTACCTCGAGAATAAACTCACGAACGTCATACTTTATTTTCTTATCACTTGGACATGGAGGGGTTCCTGATAGATTTTGAACTTGGTTTTAATCCTTAAGTAACACTCCAAGAACAAGATACTATATCATAGATCTTGGTAAAAATATATATCAGAAAAATTCTCCAAAACCTCAAAACAAGAGGAAGCATGTACCGAACATTTTACACTAAAACCTGTCTTAATTTAACACTCAATGGGAAGCTGCTAGAATTTTTTTTTCAGATTGAGAGGCTCAAATTGATGACTGCAAAATCAGACAGGTATGGGGCATAATTTTCATGAAACAATGATGGTTTGCAACATAAGTTCATAATAAGAGGATCAAAGGCAATCAGTTTTAAGCAGATGGCTGTGTAAGAGTATACATAGATATATATGTTTAAAAGCCAAAAAATCAATTACATGTACTTAAATCCATACATCCTATCACTTCAGACATCAATGGTACATGACATATAAACACATATACATGCATACATACTGCGCAAGTCATATAATTACAATGATATCCTATAGTAGTAGGACTAAGATGAATAACTAGTCCTGGCCTTATATTACAGCTTACAGGCCCGTAGCCAGGGAGAGGGCGTATTCAGGGGGAGTGAGCAAACCCACACCCCTTGGCTAATGATTCTTTCAAAATCATGAGGGTTTCACTTTCAAGTGATTTTGGACCAAAATGGTCAAGTGAACACCCTTGTAATTTTTTTAAAAGTGAACCTCCCTTGGCAAGAGCTGGCTACAGGCCCAGTAGTAAATAATTTTCACATTTTCAACAGCTATGGTGAGGTACCTAGTTGCTCTAATGCTGAGAGGTCATCATTATGTACACAGCTAAGGTAACCTTGAACTTGACTGATTAAAACCCCTTCAATACAAATGTCTGCAAACAAATGAGGTGCTTCAACGGTTCAAACTAATGATACATCATTAGTGTAAGGTTCTATTTTTTAACACTGAGCTCATGAGTCACTGCAAATAGAGCTCTTTACAAGCTGGCAGGGCCAATCTCAAATGCTTAAAATATTACCCTTGTAATAAATATTCTGCCTGATTTACACTCATAATGTTAATGAAGTATCTGATTTCTCTGTATTGTATGTAGATTTCATGATATTCCTTGCTAATTCCATTCTACTTTTCCTCTATCATATCTTAACCTTGGCTGGTATGACATTTCATCCATTGACTGGCTATCAGCATAATATATCTAGCAGAGGATAACAGACATAATGTAAAAAAAGTGATTCATACTGAGGTGTAAGACTGAACAAAATCAATAGATATGTACACCAAGAGTAGTTCGATCCCTACTGGAGTGAAATGACTTTTTCACATGAGCCCTTGGCACAGGATTTCATTCTGTGTTTTCATTTAATTATCTGAATACAAAATTCCTGGATATTATAATAATTCATATTTAAGGTCCGGAGAGTTCCCTTCCTCTTATAAGCACATGGTTAATTATGCCAAGAAATAATAATGTTGAATGTGTGGGCAAGATAATAGGCTTTTGTTTCAGCCCAATCAAATATTTATGTAAAATCGATAATGTTCTATTCAAAGCAAGTGTTGAGAAATTATGGCAGGTCAGCCTGACCAGTGAAAATCTGAATGACAGTTTATTGCACCTTTTATGAACATGTAAGAAATAAGTCACATTAAGTAGAGAAAGTGACATTTTTGAAATGTCAAATATTTACAAAAAACATGATATGAATATTTGAGTATGTATATAAAAAGAGTTATCAAATCTGACAGTTTTAACATACATGAATCAGCCTTGATAATCGACCTCCTTTAGTAGTACTGTGCCTTCTTGGCTTATTATAACACTGAGATTTCTCATCGGCAGTTTTAAGTTTTGTAAAATGTGAAAATTTCATGAGGGATTGATGCCATGACTCGCAATATACCATAGACGATAAAACATTTAATTTCCTTGAATGTTTAAATATAAAAGCTGAAAATCCAGACAGCTTATGACCACGAATGAATGATGTATGTGTATGTGATATGATGATGTATGCAGATTTGATCCTCTGTTTTGTATGAAAAAATATATAGAACTGAATTAACCTCTTGAATACCCAGAGTGACGGATATATCCGTCACAAATGAAATAAGACTGGTGCCCAGAGGGACGAGAAAATCAGTCACAAAATTTTTCACAAAAATTGCTCTCATTTGAACAATTTTCATCCAATTTACACAAAAATTGTTTTAAAACGTGTAGAAATGATCTCTGCCGTCTAATTTTACTAAGCTGAGCATCTAAAGTTGTATAGAAATGTAATAAAATGTCAAAAGGTGGCAAAAAATGAAAAATTCTCTGGTTTCATGCCAATTTTAGAGCCTGGGATTCAAGAGGTTAAGGTCAGGGTGCACTTTGATGAAATTTCATGACCATGTGCTATTTTCAGATAAACATAACTCATTCCAAACATCATCTACATCTTTCATTCTTGCACAAAAGTAGTCCAACAACATTAGACCTAGCCTGGGCCTCGTTGGGTTCTTATCTGACATGTCTTATGGCCCCGGCTAGGTCTAACTTCCATGATGATTTTGCCCTTGTTGCGATCATTTAATCGTTCAGCAGGTTTCGACATGCGGAACTAATTAAACTCCGAAAACATGGTAAAATTACATAAAGAATGTGATTCAAGCATGCATACATACCTTATAAATACATACACACCATCCCGTACCCCCCTTAGACCATATTGATGCATAATTACGAAAATATTGGAGACAGGTTTGGAATTTTACGAAAATATCGGTCAGCTCCGGTAACATCGAAATTGCAAATCGTATCAGGAATTAACCGTCATTGCGACACTGCATCAACGAACAGTAGGTTTGCAATTAATAACGATTTTGTGTGTATACAAGCGCTATATAAATCAATCAAAGATACCTGCTATCCTCAAAAATGGCTATTTTATCCCGAGTAATCGCGTGATAATTATCAATCTATTTGACAACAATTTCGTTTCAATAGTTTAAATTTTAACCCGGGACGAACAGACACAATGAAGGACATGCGGAAATGTCATTTTAGAGATTGGTAAGTTTAACCTCATTTTACTTGTATAAATGACCATTTAATACAATAATATTGTGTTGAATCGCTTGATGTTATGTGTTTTTATATTGTTGTCAAGTATCAGTTGCATGTTATCGCGGAAAAATGGTTTCGGTGGATCCAAAACTTGCATCAATGGAAAGAATAGTAAAGAGGTTAAACTCAATAATGGCCCCAAGAAAATTCTTAATAATAAATAACGCCGTTATTGAGTTTAACGACGTTGAACTAGCACAAAAGATGCATTAGAGTACCTAGACTATTAATTGAGGGTTGATAATTCTTCAGAATGTTTGAATAACTAGAATATTCAGTGGTTTACTTTTCAAAATTGCAAAAAAATTCCAGCACCCTGAAATGAAAATCATTCTACTCACCATATTCCACAAAGTCAGATATATTCTTTTCTCGTCTCAATGTTGAGTTACAACATTCATCATATAAGACAACCAGAGTATCGAGCAAAGTTTCGAGACTTATGGCCTGACCGCCGCTGTTCTGTATGCCACCGAGGTACAGCTGCTCGAGGCGTTTCAAGCGTGCCTCTGACGCCATTGTATCAGCTCCTTGTTAAATTGCACTATATCCCAATTGGTTGATGCTACCTGTATACACCCCTTGTCATATCTATAAGGTTATAATCCTTCTGAAGTGGGGTCTTCTGAACCGCTTTGATTTATACAGGAACTTTTTCAGTTTTCGAAGCTTCTGAGAATTTTTAGGTAGCTATTTATCCTTAAAATACCACATATGACATTTTATAAGCTCCAATGCTATACCAGTAGAAAGATAATTTATTTAACTATATAATCCAAAAACTTTGATCACTATTTTTACCGTATTTGCGAAGTTAAAACTTCTTTTTCTTAGAGTTTCAAGTTGGAACTTTCTCCAAAAAAATAAATATGGCCGATGAATGATGAATTGTGGGAAAATTTTCAATTGCGCGTGCGCAGTGAGTTTTGGAATAATCCACTTTGACAGGGGTGTTACTTTCATTCTTTAAATAATTAAGATATTTCTTGCTTTTTCCTCATTATTCATTGTAAGTAAATGTTCAAATCATAAAAGGATTACATAACCATTATTTACTTATATACTTTTTATCAGTCAAAAATGAATGGAAGTTATACTTTTTCATTCTCTCTCCCCTTTTTAATGTGATTGCCCGTGGGAATTCCCTTCATTTCATTCAGAAAGATGAAGCTCCTCAAGATGCGCGGCCGTACGAATTTTCTTACATTTTCCCTGTTTTATACAGTATTGGTGCTTCAACAACTAGTAACATACGGTGAAGAAGATACTAGAGTCGTTACCTTAACTGCTAGAGAGGTTGATGAGTTCGTAGTATCGCATGATATAAGAATTATATACTTTTTCAAGAAGGGTAAGTTTTGTTTACTTTTCAACTTTCTTAGAATTCATATCAAAATATGATCTAAATAAATCTATAAAGCTAGCTTATTACGATGGCAGTTTATTCATGAGTGATATTACTAACCACCACTCTTATCACAGTTTAAAGTAGTTTTTGAAATCTTTGAAAGTGTTGTAATAATGAAAAATGCACACACATTTTGGGAAGTTTGAGAAGCCAGAAAAGAGCTGAAGAGGAAGTAGTAAACAATATTATCTTGTGATTCTAAGAATTTGGCCACTTCATCTGGAAACCTGGATACACACGTGTTTACATATCTCTGCATTTTGTCAACATTAAGATTGTGTCTTTACTAGCGATCTTACAGAAACTTTTAGATTCTTTTACTAAGAAACTAATACAGAATGTCTTTATGTAATAATTTTTTTATACAGCCTGGAATTAAGGTGGTAGGGTTAGGATTGATATACAACTTAAGTCCCATTTCACTCTGTTATTTGAAATTATGTTAATTACATGTAACATCGCCAAGTAATTTCAGGATATTATACAAATATTTAATTCTATTGAGGTGAATACCTGTGCATCTTTCACAAGTGATATTCCACGAAGCCCGAAGGGCTAGTGGAATATCATCTTGTGAAAGTGTCACAGGTATTCACCGAAAATAGAATTAAATATTTGTCCCCACCATACAGTTTCCAAATACTGTTTTTTTTCTTTTAAACAATTTCAAAATTTATTTTTCATCAGATTATTCACAATAGTCTTTCCACTTATTGTTATCAATATATTGTTAAAATGTCATGTAAATGTGGGACTTTTGTTTCATGAAACAGGTGTCACTGTGACATAAAATACTCTGTTATCTCTCATTTAACCCACTATATAACAGTTATATACATGGGAAAGCAGACAGCTAATCATTGATTTTATCAGTTGTACCATAATTATTGCAATATTTCCAAGAGGTTTTCTTCTTATTGTATAACATGTGGTACTTAAATAATAAGCCATGAGTGTCCCCAGGGGGTGGATTGGGCGTAACTGCACCCCCCCCCCTTTTTTTAACCTAATCCCCGGGATTTCGATATTGATGGTGATGAGGAGACTCGGAGAAAAGAAGAACTATGTGCTCTGGTGAATGTGGTAGAGAAGTTGGGCCTCAAGTGCAAGCTATGTTGATGGGGACTGTTTTGTTTTTTTAGATATGGATGCACTCCTTGGAAAAATCCTGGGTACACCCCTGTAGTAAGGGTAAAAATGATCAAATGAAATACCTGCTGTACATGAACATGGAATATAAGATGATATATATGATGAGGCATATACATATTCCCTAACATAGTTTTATTATACAGTATATCCTTTTTATGGTGTTCATATGTTGGTATTCTTCCATTTTCAGTTTATATGAATTATAGGGGTTGGCATGATAGTAAACCTTTCTCTAATGCCCCGTTTGGCATTTTTACAATGTTCAACATCATAGTCTTTATTGTCTAATGATTCTTCATAGTCCATGTCATGCCCTGCTTATAAGCTGAGAGTAAAACAAAGCTCTCTGATAATATGCTGGTATACATGTATATGATCATAATTTTTAAGAATGATTTTAAATGGAAATATTGGCAAAGAAATAAACAAACACACATTTATTATCAAGAATTTATTCATATTCTAATTCAGAATTGTACTGTAGAAAATTCATGAAGACCAGCATGTATCGTGACATTATCACCTACTTCTATTTGCTATGTTGTTTCAGCCAGTCTGATATGGTAATTGCAAAGCATTAATATTATTTAGGAGACAAAGCGGCATTCAGGAAAAGTCAATTAATTTATGGGGTGATTGTTTCTTCATTTGTTCAGGTTTCTACGGCGTTATATTGCGTTTAAAATTCCTAATCCCATGAAATGTACGTGATCCTTTTTTTCAGTTTTAGTTTATTTATTTAACTTTATAGACAACATCAGAGCATATCAACTAAATGACTATCATTTTTTATTGCTTCTAATTTTTAAAAAGCCACAATGTTTTATTGACAGAAAGTTATGAAAATAACAAAACAGGAAGTTAATAATAATTTCATCGTGAATTTATACCATTAACTAGTACGTTATATGGTATCAGTATGTTCTTATATTATGAAGCATGTTTAAAATGTGTGTGTATTTATCTTACTGACTTCACTTACCAAGACATTATGTATTGTGGCTTCCACAGTAGTAGCTACTTTCACAAGTGTTAGATAAAATTTATTATAGACTTAAAATTCAAAATATCATACATTTGTCATTAATTTCTTTGTGCATGTACAGCTTGTCATATAAATTATGGATACAGATGCAAACCCATATAATGTATATTAGAACTTTGTCATATTTTTCAATAGTCTTGCTTCAAGACTGTAGGTCTCTCCCCTCATATACTTCCCCAACATAACCTGTGGGGAGGTGTGTAGTTGGGGAGGTGTGTAGTTTGGGAGGCTCACAAGGGCTTGTAACTAGACTATTTTTCAATTTCAGATGGGTGCAAAAATGTTTCATATTGGTGCAAGCCTGTTTTTAAAATCTCAAGTGGGTGCAAGCCTGTTTTCAAAATCTCAAGGAGGTGCAAGCCTATTTTCAAAATATCAAGTGGGTGCAAGCTTATTATCAAAATATCTCACTTGGGCGGTGTACCTTCCTGCTTCAATGCAAAGCACTAAATTATGTGAAAGACAAAGGGGCATACATGCTTACATGTAGCTTCTTAATTTTTAGAATTCCTCGGATACTCTGTCTATTCATGGATGTACTCAATCAGGTTTATAGGAATTTTATGCTATTTACCTCCCTTGAGATTTGACTTAGAAGCGCTTAGTCAGTGTATAAATATAATTAATTCCTAATAGCTTCATATTATATTGCAAGAAGTAGGATTTGGACAAGTACTTGTAAAATATAAATTCAAGAATGATTTCTAAAGTATGAATATTGCAAAGTCTGTGAATCTTGAATTGTAGCTGGTTGAATTGTAAAGTGTATGAATCTGACCGTCATGCTCATAAGCAGTCATATATGAGTTCACCTCTTCCTCTACCTAACCTTGCATCATATTCCTGTCCCCTATTACTATTTTCCTACCAAGTAGGTTTGTACTGTGTATGGTAAGGGGAGGGGATGTAATTAGGCTTAATAGCAAACTTATCCCATACACTTACCTATGTTTCAGTGCTTTTCTGATATATTTTCAGATGACTTCAGAGTGACAAACTTCCAGGAACAATACAGGAAGGCCTCTTTGGCTTTAGACCCCTATGGTGTCAAATGTGGATGGGTGAGTAATTTTAGGTATAGCTCCTGCGTTGCAACTTCCCCCCCCCATATACAATCAGATGCAGCTTTTAAAGTAGTTATATATTCAGAGGTTTTAAAGTTAACTAACAATAAAATATATGAATAATATTGTGACAATTTTTCATTAAGTTATCTTCAGAGCTCTTCAATATATCACTGTCCTTTTCTGCCCCTTATAAGATAATAAGCTCCAGGCGATTCTAGCACTCATTATTATGTATTTTCTACATTAACCGTGTTTTTTTCCAGTATGACTGTGGGTCGCAGAAACATGAAAGTTGTAATAAACATGCAGTAGAGAAGCACGTGTACACTTATAAGTAAGTATCTGGGTGGGAGGAATTTATTTCTTTTAATTTCCTCATGCCTAATGAGTAGAGCTACAAAGCAGGTTGAATTGTCTCATTATGAAGCATTTTGCCAAAAAGGCTATTCATGAGAGATACTTGAGGTGTTACTTTGTTGCGAAGCTTTTTGTTGAATATTTTGTAATGGAGCAATTTAACCCTACCACTACTGTGTAACCCCGATCTCAAAATATCTTACCCACAATACATCTATTTTACGATATACTCGATCTACTTCTGTGTTATGGCATCCTTTTATGAAAACCTGCATATCTAGAATGTAGATTAACATATATTGTTATAAAAAGCTGTAATGTGTAAATTAAATGTTGCTATCTCATATTCCAGGGATGGAATGGACTTGATTGACTTAGAGCTTGACACATTATTCAATGTGGATGCCATTGTATCAAACGTTCTACAGTAAGTTAATAGGCTTTATGTTATATGGATATTTTATAAAATGAACTATTGTAGGCCTGATCTCTGTCGCTATTTGCTGTAGATATATTGCACAAAGCATCATTTATATTATTGGATTGATGGAGATGATCATTGCTGATGCATTACATATTTTATGAGCTTTTTGTTTTGACACTTTTGGCTTAAAACTGAGGAAGTACCAGATGAATTAGACCATAAAACAGGCATGTTTTACAAGATTGGAATTATTTATAGCTAGATCATGTTCTTCGTTAAATACAGAGGAAAAGCACAGTTAAAAAAACTATAAGACTAAATAATATTCATTACGACTAAATGAATAAATGAAATGGATACAGGGACACAGTCAACAAAAGAGAACACAATGGTTATACACTGCTTTTATTTTCTCGTCAGTTACGATTTATGCTTCCTGTCTCATGAATTTGCCATCAGTCAAGAACAAGAAAAGAAGAAAAATAACATTTCCTATAAAATCTGATATAATCCTCTTACAATCATAAATTCTCTAATCTCTAAGACTTAATGGATTTAGAGCTCTTGCTTAAAGTTTAATATGCATTCAATGTCATTTTTTACCTGAATACCTGTATTAAGTTACTGATTTTCTGGCATGCTTGCACTCTTGATACTACAATCTTAGTTCTTGTTTACATTTGCCGTACCAATTTCATATTTTCCACTGGATTTGGCATTTCAAACAACTACCATGTAATTTTATCAACTGGCGTCAATACAATATTTGAATAGGCACTGCGGAGCCTGTTTTTTCCCTGTGATACCCTGAATATTTTGTCACAATTAATTACATCTTACGATTTAAAATCTATTAATTGATGAGAAAATGTACAAGCAGTATTAACCTTCTTCCTCTGAATGCCTGACATTCCTTAAGAATTATGAAATATATCAATTCTTAATGGCAAAATTATACATAAATTCCAAGATAACTTGGATTTTTCTAATGGGGAATCATTTCAAGTGAGAACCATATCATAGTAAATGAATAAGCTAAGTCAACAGGTCGTAGTTATAAACTGATGAGAGCTTGATCCATAATTAAAACGAGAAACTTTGAACTCATGCGTGTTATAATCAGTGATTGATTCCAGTATTCTAAGTTGTCACCATGGTTATTTTTTCTATTTCCTATCTTAGTCTACATTTATCTTAATCATTTTTCTTCAAAATTCACTGATATCTGTTTCATTTCCGCTAGCCAAAAATTTACAAAAATAGTGATTGTTCAGTAGTTGAGCTTGAAAACATATAGGGACCTCATTACATATTGTACCAGATTAATATTGTTATTAAATAATAATATAATGCTATGATTTTTTCTTTTTCACATAACCATATAAATAGGGATTAAGAGACTAACCCTCATTACTTAAAGGACAACTGAAATAACTTTTCTCAACTTGCAGCTACAAAAACGCGGTTTTCGCCATTGTAAGCCCAACGTAGAGTTCTTGCGATAGCCATTATAAAATAAATGTTAGGTTACTGCTAACGGTCAAAAATAACGAAATAAAACTAACTGATTAATCAAATTGGCCCCCACGTGATTAGTAACGTCATATACAAAATATAGCTTTGGTTTATCGGTTTCTTAGTAATCACAACGTCACGGCAACCATAGGATTGTTGTGTAAACTAATAACAAAACATTTCGGCATTATGACGTCATGATCCAATGGACCAAAACGGGCCATGTGGGGACCAGTGAGAGATCACGTGGGGGCCAATAACGTCACAACCAATTCGAATATTGCTTATTAAGCAGCTAATAACGATCGTTAGAGTAAAATAATTTCCACACTACTGATGAGAAAACATGTCCAAATACATCTATCAAAAAATTATATTGATTCCTTTTAGGTTAAAAATACCATTTCATATCTGCTTTAATTGCATAATTAAGAGTATATCTTTAATACTACAGATTAGTGCTCTTACAAGACGTTCCAATTGTTCAGACGGAATTTGAATTGGAAGGCATGTTGAGCAGTCATAAAGGCAGACAAGATGTCATCCTGTCATACCAGAGGGCCATAGGAACCTATGGTAAGTCGAATATTTTACTTTTATATAGTCTATTGTAGCAGTCCTGGCAGGATCGTAGTCAGGATTCAAAATAGACCAGGCAGATCTAAAAAGGCGAAGCAAAACTAAAGCCACATAGGATATTGTACATCTTTAGAACATACTGTAATGTTCACACTAAAAAACTCAACACTTTTTGCTAAATATTGACATGGGGGGGGGGGTTCTATTTGGTAGTCCTTTCATTTTCAATCACCATAGCAGGCCCGTAAGACACTTTTCTCCAAGGGGGGTGCGGTTTTTAGCTTCCTAAAGAGAATATAAAATTGTCAATTTTTTTTACCGCGTAAATCAAATCGCGTAAGACAGAGGGGGGGGGGTGTCAGTTACTCCCTATATTGGTTTGGAATTAACAAATGCAACATCCAAAAATTTGCTTGTATTTGGAGCGAATTTGGAACCATCTGGTACGCCTGTGCGTTATGAGTCAATAAGAAAAATGTGAATTTTTTTTCAAATTCTTTTGGGGGTGTCAAAGAGGATGAGAGGGTGAAGTTGGGTGGGGTGCCAGTAGGGGAGCAAGGGATGTCCCCCAGAAACATTGACCATATCAAGGTGCTATTTGATGATGTCTGGGCACTTAAAAAATGTCTGAGACAATACATGAAATACAGAATATTTATTTTGTTGTGTGGGGGATGTGAGGGGTAGCTAACTCTCCTAGAAAATTTTACAATTTAAAGATGATATTTGGTGCTTCTGGGCACTTTTAAAGGTATTAGTCAATAAAAACATTGAAAAACAATTACAATTTTTTCAAATTTTGGGGGTGTCAAAGAGGGGGGGAGGAGTGCCAGAGGGGGAGGTGGGGCTGGGGTGCCAGAGGGGGAGCAAGTGTTTGTCCCCTATATCAAAACTTACAATATCAAGGTGCTATTCCATTAGAAGTTTGGGCACTTTAAAAGTGTCTGTGCCTAAAAGCGCATATTTCCCAAGAAAATTTTACAATTTTAAGATGCTATTTGGTGCTTTCTGGGCACTTTCAAAATGTATGAGTCAATAAAAAATTTTGAAAAATCTCATCCCAAATTTTTTCTTTTTGGGGGGGTGTTAAGGGGGGGGGGGGCTGCCAGAGGGGTAGGTGGAGTGGGGATGCCAGAGGGCGAGTAAGTGTTGGTCTTCCAGAATCATTAACTTTATCAAGGAGCTATTTGATGCTATCTGGGCAATTTAAAAGTGTCTGAGACAATACATAAAACAAATTCAGAACTTTTCCATTGTTTTGTTTGGGGTGTGAGGGGTGGCCCACTCCCCCTAGAAAATTTTACAATTTTACGACGCTATTTGGTGCTTTCTGGGCATTTTCAAATTGTATGAGTCAATTAAAGAATTTGAGAAAATCACAATTTTTTTTGGGGGGGGGTCAAGAGGGGGGGGGGGGCGCCAGAGGAGGGGGGTTATGCAAGATGCAAGAGGGGGAGCAAGTCCCCAAGAAACACCAACTATATCAAAGAGCTATTTGATGATGTCTGGGCACTTTAAAAGTGTCTGAGACAAAACACTAAAATAAATTTAGAACTTTTCCATTGTTTTGTGGGGGGTGTGAGGGGTGGCCAATACCCCTAGAAAATTTTACAATTTTACGATGCTATGTGGTGCTTTCTGGGTACTTTCAAAGTGTATGAGTCAATGAAAAAAAGATTACAAAAAAATATTTTTCAAAAACATTCAAATTTATTTTGGGGGTAACAAAGGGGGGTGCGGTCGCACCCATCGCACCCCCCCATCTGACGGCCCTGCATAGAGACTGATTTACACATACATTGTAAAAATATTGTTGTAATGATTTTGACACAAATGAATGTAAATGAAAGAATTGGTGTGACATTGATAGTTGATACCATATTAATTGATATAATATGATTGCATTTCTGTTTTACAGATCATAGAATATTTATGGAGGTGGCGTTTGCCTACCAACACAAGTACAAGTTTGTTGTATCAACAGACTCGGCATCTGTCAAGAAATACCTCACGTATGTATCATGTGTTTGCACCATCTCCTATATGACTGGAATATATTGAGAGTTTGGTGTTCTGTTGAAATCAAAGGGTGATTTACTTAAAAGTGGCTAAGATATATTTATGGAAAGTTGCTCCATCTCTCATATGACTGGAATGTATTGAGAGTTTAGTGCTCTATTGAAATCAAAGGGTGATTTAGTTAAAGGTTGCTAAGATATATTTATGGAAAGTTGCTCCAAATCATGAAAAATACAATTGTCTGGATGGAAGATATTTTCCTTCAGTTACTCAAGTTTCTTAACGGATGGATGTAATTAGATACTAGGTTCTGCCCGAAGATCTCAACCTTTAGTGAACATTCATCATTTCTGTCAAGGGATCATGTTCCAGTGTTTTTTCTAACATCTCTACTACACTTACGCCTAGGCTTGCTTTCCAATGCCAGTAAAAGAAAACAAATGTGCGAATATGTGAACTATTTATAAACTTATTCCGGGTTCAGAGTTGTCATAGTTTTGAGAGCATACCTTATGATGACAAAAATGTGAAAAAAACTCAGCAAAACTAATTAAATTAAGTCCTCAGAAAATACAATAAATGCCTAAATGTAACAAATGAAAACATTTTTAAATTTTGTTGCAGCTTTTGCTTAATTTGAGATTTTCATCTTTTCATAATTTTTTATTTCCTCTTTTAGAGAGCAGAACAGGCAAAAGCATTCTATTGTCTGGGTGGTGAGATGTAAGGATATAAAGAAGACATCGGAGCCATGTAGTGTTTCATACTTCCAAGATTCCATGGACCTTGTATCCCTGGTTAAATTCATCAAAGCATTAGATTTACCAAAATCTGTAAGTTTACACTAAGATAGCCATTGACCAATTTAACTATTTAAAAAAAAATTTTAAAAATTTTAAATGTTTCTCAATGCTAGTCAAATGTTTAGGTCATTTAAAATTTCTCAGTTATGTGAAGAATCGCCTGGTTCCTTTCTGTATTTAGGACATAAACATGCATACTATGTCTCAAGTTTATCTTTAGTGTTACGTGTATATCTACCAATGCCAATATGTTTATGATGATAGGAGATTAACATGGACATACAGCATTTTAAAGTCCCTGGACTTAAACAGAATAAATTTTCTTTCAATTTTTTTCTTATGATGGTCCCGATGAAGTATTAAAATTCAAAGCACTTATTGGTTTCCTTTAGAAACAGACTGGCTAAATTGTATACCTTTACTTTTTCATGCTGCTTAAATTGTACACCAAAGAATGACCAATCAAAATAAAAAAAAATGAAGTAAAAAATATTTATTTCAGTATGATATCCCTGAGGATGGCTCAGTTGGGACCCCCACACCATACCACAAGCAGAATATGCATGTTGCCTATGTATTCTATGATAAAACTACTCGCAAAGAAGCATTGAAGCTGTCAGAGGGTCTTTATAACGCTTTCTCTGGAATCATTGGAGTTGTCACAATCAACACGTAAGAACATATAAAGATAACTGTACATACTCATACAGGGTGCACCAGAAAGTTGACTTCCATATATCTCAAAAAAATTCTGAAATGTAAATGATATCAACATCCTGTTTTCTACTATTAAAATGGTCTTCAATCAAAATCAAATAGTTTTCATAAAAATTATTTTGAGATTATTTGGGGCCCATTTTCTTGGGTCACCCTGTATATTTGTTTCAAACATAACAAGAAACTTAAGTTCTAGAGGAATCAGATTGCTTGTTGTCATGGAGAAAATCCAATAAAAATGATACAGTGTTCATTATTGCACTTCAAATATAGTATCCCTTCTTTATAAAAATGACATAGTCCAGTCCTTTATGAAACCACTGTGATTACGTCACTCTTGAACAATAATGGCTCTGCAGCGTGTCATAAAACAGTGGCTTTTCTTAAAAAATATATTGTACATTTATGTTCCATTGTTGTCATGTTTCAGTGCAGAACAAGGATTAGATGAGTATGGCTATGATAATACCATGTCTCCTATAGCTGTAACTTTTAAGCTCCGAGAACAGGTAAGCATATTTATGAACCATTTTAGTTATGTGCAGTTTTCCGTCAACTGAGCTCAAATTGAATGCAACATAATCATATACGACTTTTAAGACATTTAATATAGAGTGAAACCTCCAAAGTAGAACATCTTGAAGTGGAACACCTTTGTTAGTGGAACACTTTTCAGAGTCCCAAGACCAACTGACTTAATGTCTCTATAATGAATTAACCTCTGTAAGTGGAACACCTTCCAAGTGGAACACCTTTTAGCAGTAACAAATATGCTCCCCTTAGACAGGTTTGACTTTACTTAACAGTGGATCTGAACTTTGTAATAGATCCATGAATAAAATACTGAAGAGCTTTGAATTATACGTGGCAAAAGCTTTAGTTCATCAAAGGTAGTAAATTTACTCACACAACCAAATGTTAGTAAACTGAATCTTGAAATATAGAATATCAATGTGCATGATTTACATAGGAAAACCTCAATGTTTGGGATGGCGTGACTTCCATCGAGGCAGTTTGTGGATTTATTACAGAGCTCCTCTCTACTACCATACGTCAAAGAAGCTCTGATAGTGCGTATGCAATGAGGTCAGGTGACGAGTCCGACTCCTTATATGACGATAGAATTGATGCATATGGTGAGAATTTTTATGTGATTATTTCTGTTAGAAACACTTCTAATTATCATTACTGTTGGTTAGATATGCGAATCTCTTTTTATTATGTCACCACCAAAAGTGGTGACATATTGTTATGGTCTCCGTTTTTTTGCGACGGCGTCCGGCGGTTGGTGGTTGGCGTCCGGCGGTTGGCGTCCGGCGTCTGTAACAATTTCTTACAACTTCCTATAACTTAACAAATACTGTTTAGACTGACTTCAATTTTTTTCTAAATCATCTACATGTTCTCAGAAGTTCAAATCTGACTTCAGATTTGACATTTGACCTTCAATGACCTTCTCAAGGTCAAAAAGGTCTTTTTTCAACTTGCTTCACATTGACTAAATTTTTTTTCAAAATCATCTACATGTTCTCAGAAATTCAAATCTGACTTTAGATTTGACATTTGACCTTCAAATCTGACTTTAGATTTGACATTTGACCTTCAATGACCTTCTCAAGGTCAAAAAAGGTCAAAAAGGTCTGTTTTCAACTTGCTTCAAATTGACTTTATTTTTTTTTCAAAATCATCTACGTGTTCTCAGAAATTCAAATCTGACTTAAAATTTGACTTAAGATTTGACATTTGACCTTCAATGACCTTCTCAAGGTCAAAAAAGGTCAAAAAGGTCTGTTTTCAACTTGCTTCAAATTGACTAAAAATTTTTTTCAAAATCATCTACATGTTCTCAGAAATTCAAATCTGACTTTAGATTTGACATTTGACCTTCAATGACCTTCTCAATGTCAAAAAAGGTCAAAAAGGTATTTTTTCAACTTGCTTCAACTTGACTAAATTTTTTTTCAAAATCATCTACATGTTCTCAGAAATTCAAATCTGACTTTAGATTTGACATTTGACCTTCAATGACCTTCTCGAGGTCAAAAAAGGTCTGTTTTCAACTTGCTTCAAATTGACTAAATTTTTTTTTCAAAATCATCTATGTGTTCTCAGAAATTCAAATCTGAATTAAGATTTGACTTAGGATTTGACATTTGACCTTCAATGACCTTCTCAAAGTCAAAAAAGGTCAAAAAGGTCTTTTTTCAACTTGCTTAAAATTGACTAAAATTTTTTTTCAAAATCATCTACATGTTCTCAGAAATTCAAATCTGACTTTAGATTTGACATTTGACCTTCAATGACCTTCTCAATGTCAAAAAAGGTCAAAAAGATATTTTTTCATCTTGCTTCAAATTGACTAAAAATTTTTTCAAAATCATCTACATGTTCTCAGAAATTCAAATATGACTTTAGATTTGACATTTGACCTTCAATGACCTTCTCAAGGTCAAAAAAGGTCATAAAGGTCTTTTTTCAACTTGCTTCAAATTGACTAATTTTTTTTTTCAAAATCATCTACATGTTCTCAGAAATTCAAATCTGACTTTAGATTTGACTTAGGATTTGACATTTGACCTTCAATGACCTTCTCAAGGTCAAAAAAGGTCAAAAAGGTCTGTTTTCAACTTGCTTCAAATTGACTAAAAAAAATTTCAAAATCATCTACGTGTTCTCAGAAATTCAAATCTGACTTTAGATTTGACTTAAGATTTGACATTTGACCTTCAATGACCTTCTCAAAGTCAAAAAAGGTCAAAAAGGTCTTTTTTCAACTTGCTTCAAATTGACTAAAATTTTTTTTCAAAATCATCTACATGTTCTCAGAAATTCAAATCTGACTTTAGATTTGACATTTGACCTTCAATGACCTTCTCAATGTCAAAAAAGGTCAAAAAGGTATTTTTTCATCTTGCTTCAAATTGACTAAATTTTTTTTCAAAATCATCTACATGTTCTCAGAAATTCAAATCTGACTTTAGATTTGACATTTGACCTTCAATGACCTTCTCAAGGTCAAAAAAGGTCATAAAGGTCTTTTTTCAACTTGCATCAAATTGACTAATTTTTTTTTTCAAAATCATCTACATGTTCTCAGAAATTCAAATCTGACTTTAGATTTGACATTTGACCTTTAATGACCTTCTCAAGGTCAAAAAAGGTCTAAAAGGTCTGTTTTCAACTTGCTTCAAATTGACTAAAATTTTTTTTCAAAATCATCTACGTGTTCTCAGAAATTCAAATCTGACTTTAGATTTGAGTTAAGATTTGACATTTGACCTTCAATGACCTTCTCAAAGTCAAAAAAGGTCAAAAAGGTCTTTTTTCAACTTGCTTCAAATTGACTAAATTTTTTTTTCAAAATCACTTACATGATCTCAGAAATTCAAATCTGACTTTAGATTTGACATTTGACCTTCAATGACCTTCTCAATGTCAAAAAAGGTCAAAAAGTTATTTTTTCATCTTGCTTCAAATTGACTAAATTTTTTTTCAAAATCATCTACATGTTCTCAGAAATTCAAATATGACTTTAGATTTGACATTTGACCTTCAATGACCTTCTCAAGGTCAAAAAAGGTCATAAAGGTCTTTTTTCAACTTGCATCAAATTGACTAATTTTTTTTTTCAAAATCATCTACATGTTCTCAGAAATTCAAATCTGACTTTAGATTTGACATTTGACCTTTAATGACCTTCTCAAGGTCAAAAAAGGTCTAAAAGGTCTGTTTTCAACTTGCTTCAAATTGACTAAAATTTTTTTTCAAAATCATCTACATGTTCTCAGAAATTCAAATCTGACTTTAGATTTGAGTTAAGATTTGACATTTGACCTTCAATGACCTTCTCAAAGTCAAAAAAGGTCAAAAAGGTCTTTTTTCAACTTGCTTCAAATTGACTAAATTTTTTTTTCAAAATCACTTACATGATCTCAGAAATTCAAATCTGACTTTAGATTTGACATTTGACCTTCAATGACCTTCTCAATGTCAAAAAAGGTCAAAAAGTTATTTTTTCATCTTGCTTCAAATTGACTAAATTTTTTTTCAAAATCATCTACATGTTCTCAGAAATTCAAATCTGACTTTAGATTTGAGTTAAGATTTGACATTTGACCTTCAATGACCTTCTCAAAGTCAAAAAAGGTCAAAAAGGTCTTTTTTCAACTTGCTTCAAATTGACTAAATTTTTTTTTCAAAATCACTTACATGATCTCAGAAATTCAAATCTGACTTTAGATTTGACATTTGACCTTCAATGACCTTCTCAATGTCAAAAAAGGTCAAAAAGTTATTTTTTCATCTTGCTTCAAATTGACTAAATTTTTTTTCAAAATCATCTACATGTTCTCAGAAATTCAAATATGACTTTAGATTTGACTTTAGATTTGACATTTGACCTTCAATGACCTTCTCAAGGTCAAAAAAGGTCAAAAAGGTTTTTTTTCAACTTGCTTCAAATTGACTAATTATTTTTTTCAAAATCATCTACATGTTCTCAGAAATTCAAATCTGACTTTAGATTTGACATTTGACCTTTAATGACCTTCTCAAGGTCAAAAAAGGTCAAAAAGGTCTGTTTTCAACTTGCTTCAAATTGACCAAATTTTTTTTTCAAAATCATCTACATCTTTTCAGAAGTTCAAATTTGACTTTACAAGTTCTCAGAAATTCAAATATGACTTAAGTTTGAACTCATAATATTGTGAGCAACTAGGTGGTGACATTTTGTCATGTTAATGCCTTGTCTCACCTTGAAATTGTGCTATGTTGTCATTGTCATCTTATGCTGATGGCCATGCAAGTGTAGATGGGCAGGCGACACATAAATCCTGTCATCAAAATTCCAGGAAAACTGCTTATCGGTTCAACTTGAAATATCTACAGATGCAAGAACAGACTAGTGCCAAGATCTGATTAGGTTTTAGGCATGCTGGGTAAATTACATGACAGCCATTTAGCTCTTCAAAGTGCGATTTTTATATCTTGTATGAAATACTTTCAGATGAAGGAGATGATTATGAAGTATTAACCCAAGATGATGAACTGGCAAAAGCAATGTGGGACATCAGGGATGAAAAGGTCGATATGACCCATGTACCAGCTCTGACAGATAAAACATTTCCTGAACTCCTGGCTGAGAAAGATTTGCTTATTGTGTTATATTATTTAAGAAGTAAGAACTTTTCAAATCTATGGAGTATGTTATTATTTCATTAATATCAAAGAATATTGTTAAATTAATGTTGAATTTGTAATGTTGAATTTCTTGTACAGTTAAATCATTCGCTCTACAAATTCCCCTTTCTCATTTTAAATAATTTTCCTTTTATATTTTTCCTAACAATGAGTGTTACACACATAAACATGCCATCAGAAATCTCTTCATTGATAATTTCCCATTTTCAGCTGACTCTAGGGGTAGCCTCTTCACACATGCCTTCTCCGAGATCTCATCAACCCTTGCATTAGAAAATGTAACCCCCTTAGCCACTGTTGAATGCTGGGACTGGACTGATATATGTGGGAAGGAGAACATCACTTTCTACCCAACTCTGAGGATATACAGGAAAGGGAAGCAGTCAATTGACTATAAAGGGCTCCTTGATGGGCACTCAGTTTTGGCGGCTATCAGATTGTAAGTACATGTCAAAAGATACACTGTATGCACATTTGATATTACCACATAGGACTCAAATACACCATTCCATTGTTATTTTAGAAAAATATGATCAAATATACATTTTAAGCCATTATTTAAAATTCACACAGAGGTGTGTCTGATGCAATTTTTAAAAGAATTTAAGCCCAAGACTCGATGCATTGATGGCTTATTTGTTCCACACAGGTGTTATTTCCTTAACTTCACACTCAATGCTGTGCATCTCATGCATGCAACGGTTGAAATAACACCTTTTTGAGAAATGATTCACTCCACATTGCGCTGAGTCCAGGGCTTCAATTCTTAACTAAACTTGAATTTTCAGACTGATGGAAGCAGCACCGATACAACTTGAGACTACCAAAGAAGTAGAAGGGTTCATAGATGGTTATAAGACTGATATACTAAAGGGTGCCTCACAAACAACAGTTCTTGGCTTATTTGAATCCTCAGATGTGAAAGGTACGACTCATCCTCATTTTACACATTCTGAGAAAATGTTATACATTCCAGTTATTCTGTGAAATCTTGCCTGACCTGATTATCTTTGTATAGTATATTTATATGGTGTCTCGTAAGCCGATGTCGGCTGTTGGGTTTTTTAACACATGTATTTTACTTGGAATATTCTAGTTAACCTGTGACACAGAAATAAACTATTATTAAAGTAAACTAAACTAACATGACAGATTATGGTTGCATAAATATCATGTAAATCCTCAATTTAATAGTCATTTGGTTCATTGTGAAATTCATTGGTCAAATGTCCAGTGCTTATGCCACATCCTGGCAATGATTTTATTTGAGCACATGAATCAAATCGAATGCAGCATCATGTACCAACTCATTGTTGTTGCCCAATTGTCAAGTCTTACCTTTTTTTCCAAATTCAGGTATTGCCACATTTAATGATGTAGCAGATAGACTCCATGGCAAGATGCTGTCCGGCATCGTCACTGGTGATACAGCAAATGCAGTCGCTACCAAGTACAACACCAAACCTCCCGCTGTTCTAGTGTTGAAGAAACAGCAAGATAAACAACAATATGCCAAATATGATGGTCCTATAGAATCAAAGGATATTATGACATTTATAGAAAAGTCTAGATTACCTGCTTTTGTAAGTTTAACCGTTTGTAAGATTTTTGTATCACCACTTCAACATAATTTTGTTGCAGTCTGTAACAAATGATTACATTTTTATGTCACAACCAAAAAGTGGTGACATATTGTTATGGTCTCTAGATGCCATTGTTATGGTCTCCATTTTTTTGTGACGGCGTTTGGTGATCGGTGGTCGGTTGTTGGCGTCTGTAACAATTCTTAAAACAAACAATAACTTAACAATACTGTTTAGACTGACTTCAGTTTTTATTATATTGTGACCAACTAGGTGGTGACATTTTGTCATGTTAATGCCTTGTTTAGATTGTCTTTTGTATACAGTTTATAAACGAATTTTCTGAAATTATCAGTATTATTTTTTCATTTACAAAATTCTTAAAAGTATTCCTTTGCAGCTATTGAAATGTTGTTGAGAATATCAGCTGCATATATTGCAATTATGTTCAACTTTTGTATTGCAGACAATGCTCACGATTCAAACATTCCCAGCATTACATAAAGCAGGAAAACCATTCATCATTTTGTTCTGTGACCAGTGCCAGTCATCTCGTGCCTTTAAAAGTGTTCAGGAAATAGCTGAGGATGAAGTTTTACCACATCTCACATTCAGCTGGATGGAACTGTAAGATCAGCTTTTTACAGAATATACTCACTATCATTAAGCATTTACTTCTTTTACTTCATTTACTCATTTAGCTCAAGAATAGGATAGTATTGTGATATAATTATTTAGGAGCAAATTTTAATATGTGATATCATCAGTTGAGAGTGAATATTTGTTTTATAATGTGTTAATGTGTGATTTAATTATTTCAAAGCTTTAGTACCAAACTGATTTTACCTCTGTTTAGCAGGAGTGATACTGGGTGACCAAGAGTGATGGATTTTATGATTGTCTAGACCATGATATGGGAATATTTTTTCTGATTGCAGATATCAAGAAGATGGTGTGGCTGAAATAGTGCTGAAGACATATCTAGAGGGGGATATGACAGTACCAGCTCTAGCATATGTGGACTTGTCTAATGTAAGTACCATCTCATAGTGGTAACTTTTTAAAATGGAGAATAGAGAGGAGGAGAGTGGAATCCATGTGGAATAAAGAGGACGGACAAATTCTCCAAAGGATGAATTTGGGAATGAGTCTGGATATCGACTTAGAAAATATTGAAGATTGTAATTTTATTTGAAAAACCAACTCAATCACACATATTATTTAACTTCAATATCTTATCCTTTTTCTGAGAGTACAAAAATATCAATTTGTATCACAATTAATGAAGAATATTGGCATCAAAGAGAATGCATATGACTATGCCACAATTGAAAAAAAATTCAAGTGTAAATATTAAATGAATAATTTTTACCAAAAGTTTGAAACATATCCTCCAAAACATTGCTTACTTTCTTTGCATAGACATTGAATGGTATTTCTTGATAAGTGAATTGGTGTTTATCTAAGTAATCAAGGGATTATAGCCACTCAAAGTTACTGAGCATCCAGGTTTGACACTTCAATTGTGTTGGTGAAATTATACATATTTCAGTCAAATTCATGCTGATCACAACATTTTGGTTTCAATTTTATAATCTCTATACATGACCCTGGTGATGAAGAGTCAGAATCAGTCAAAAAACCCAAACCAGAAAACTGTGCTAATTGTGAAAACTAAAGGTGAAGCTACTTTTTTCTGATATTTCTTATACCAAATGGCAGCCATCTTGCTTTTCCCACCTCAAATTAAACTGGCGGGAAATTCAAAAATTTGAAAAAAATTAAATCCTAAAATATATTTTAAAAATATGATTTTTAAAAAACATTCTTCATGGGTCTTTTAAGTTATTTCTATTTTACATGTCATACATGTTGCAATTGGTGTTTTTTTCTATGATAATGATTATTAGTTTTCTGTTAGGATACTTATTTTGACTCTCACCAGGGGGTTAATTATGGATCAAAACTCATGAAAAAGTAAATATACTTAACAAATATAACTAGGACAGTTAGATTTCACATACATTTAACTGAGGGACCAAAAGGGCATATATCCAGACTCATCCTTTTATAGAAATGCATGAAAATTAGAATTTTCATATTTTTAAGAAATAGTACATTTGATTTTGTATTGATCTTATCATGAAACCTCATCTAATTATTATTTTTATTCATTATTGTTGAAGGGGCAGACTTTTGTGTATTTGGACGACTTTGACAAATCAGCATCAATTTTAAAATGGCTTAACATGGTGAATAAAGGAGAAATGGAACCTAGTAAAACTCTACCTAAAACCAAATGGGCTCCCCAACACAGAGGGTTCAATTTTCTGGAAAAGATGGATTTTGATGCTCTTTCCCATCAGTATAAAGACAGTAGAAGTACTCCAGAAAATCAGCATGGGATAGGTAAGTGTAGGACAATTAATGTCAAATATGAGATGAAAAACTGTAATTGTCTTTACGACATCCACAAATCAAGTAATTTTTTCTATATTGTGTTGAGAACAAGTAAATTTCTATTTTATATACACACACCAATATCAAATTAAAGCCTATGACTCAAGTTGTGATTTGTTGGTGATTTAAAGTATGGGCCTGTTGTATGATTGTATTAAATCAAGGCTTAGCCATAATCTACCTGGTATTATGGCCTATGTCTCAATTTTAGCAAATATATTGAACTATGATAGAATGGCATTTAAATATGGTTGCAGGATTCGATGAAGATGGTAACCAAGTAACCGATACCACAGAAGAAGAAATTCCAGATAGCAGTTCACGTAACACTGATGAAGATGATGTCCGTGGAAATTTACACGAGTTAAAAAACTCCAGACTTTACCATCACAAATCAGAAAAAAATATTAAACATAAAGACACTTTTCATCATGATCCATCAGAGTTATGATGGGGGTCTAATCATAGTCATAGTTGTTATGATATTTTTTAGTTGTTTTTGTAACATACTGTCTTTAGTCAAGTCTCTGGTTCTTCTTAGTTATTATGTATTTGCCCAAGCAGATTTGAGGAAAATGGAAAAAAAGCAACACAAAGTTAGAGGGTACCATCCACTCCATATAACCATGTGGTTGCTTAAAATACCATAGGTAATAATGTGCATGCACATGCAAATGAGCCTTCTCGCTGAGCTGGTGATATCTCTTCCAAATTCATGGGTCTGGAGAATATCAGTGATCTTTTGTCCTTTTTAACTTATATGTGTGAACTATTCTTATATCCTCTTATACAAGATGTGTGAGATAAAGGGAGTTGAAGGGAACCATAGGCTTGATTCAAGGATGAAAACCACATGAATTAAACATGACAGTATTTAGGATATAAAGTTTTATAAAATCATATCATTTGTGCCAGTTTGCACACTGTATCACTAGTAAATCAAAGATCTGTCAAAATGTATTCTGAAATTAGGCTGAAGTTTAACTTTAATAATAGCATATACAATATTTTCTAGTTTATTTTCCTGGTGTTATACTTGTAATTATAAAATACTAAAAATACACACACTTTAGTGGAAAACAAGGAGAAATGAATGATTCTCTCTTGTAAGTATTCTTTCATTTTTGGTTCATATTTGAAACCAGTGGCATATCTCTGCTGATATCCATGTATTTTCAGCATTCATTTTATTCAGAACTCCTGCAAGAAACAGATCTACATGTACAGTAGTACACATTATCATGTGCATTGTATATTATAAGCTGACACTACTTTGCCAAACACAACATTAATTTAACCTTTCTAAGTGATTTAAGGTATTGCCAATGCAATGAGTAATAAAAACATTGCTTGTTTGGTTTCTGCCGAACAACTCCTAAAGCTATGCCTCTCTGGTTACCCATGTGAACCTTAAGCCTCTGTCACATTTGGTCTATGGCAGCCGTACAGGGACCATACCTTCACAAAATCGATACAGAAAATCTACATCATACTGCTTATCCCTATATTTTATGCTGCATATTTCTCTCGATTTTTGGAAGCAAGGGTCGCTGTATGATTGTCGTAGATCAAATGTGACTGAGGCATAAGGGCAATATCTCATGGTTTTTCACATGTGACAAAACTTTTGTGGATGGTGTTCAGTGGTTGGTGTTCAGCCTCCGGAACAGCATTTGTAACAAATGGCAGGTGGTGACATTTTGCATGTTAATGGCTTTTTTATTATTTTATTTTGACATGATATCCTATGAATATCACAGTAACAGTAACATTATGGAATAAAAAGTGCTATCAGTCTAGCATACAGGCCCAAGAAAACAAAATAAATGAACGGGTCACTTCATATTGAGGCATTCCATGTGGACTTTGTGTTAGAATGACCTAGCAGAATGTAACTCCTTGCCAATTTTGATAACAGTGTAAACACAAGGAAATTATTTTTTAAATGAATTTATGAAACTTTATGTACATTGTACATTACTTGTTTGTATGTATGTTAATTGCTTGCCGAGATCATGTTAATTGCTTGTATGTGAGAAACATAATCTTTGTATCTATGGGTGAAACGAGGTCTTGCATTAATCCACTGGGTCCCATCCTCACTTGTAAATAATATATGGGAGGAACCAGGAGCTTAATGCAAATCAAGTTATAATGTGTGTGTATATTATCCTGAGTAACATATCTTGAGTAGAAGTATGAGTAGGTAGATTCTCGAGTATGAGTAGATAGATTCTCGAAGTATACACCTCATGTTTTTATAAGTCTGGTGGAATATATTATTTCTTTTTAATAGGGTAAAAACAATTATGTAATGAAATACGATATTATTGTCGCTATTGAGCATTCCAATCGGATATTAAGTTTCTAAAATGTAATTAGTCTTGCATCAAGGCTCTGTACCCCCCCCCCTAACTACTTCACCTCAAGGGTGTTGGGAGGGGGTAGGAACACAGGGGCTTGAAGCAAGACTAAATCTAACTAGTTTTGTCAATATACAGGGTGTTCCATAAATAAAGATATTATGCTTCAAAATAATTAAAAACATAGATACAACATTAAATATCAACAGAACTACTATGACAAGTATACCAATTTGGTTTAAAAAAGAAAAACTTCAAAATTGAAACTGCTCAGCAGAATGTGTACATTGGTTGTCAGGGAAACCATTTCCAGAAATTAACAAAATGAAACTTATTGTCACATCTTGAAGAGGTACAAATTTTATATTGTTTCCCCATCAATTAAATTTTTAAGCATAATTATCTTAAATTATGAGACACCAAGTAGTTATATACTATTATTCTAATTTTGTGGATATGTGCAATGTATGAATGACAGCTAAGATTGCAAGATGAAAATGTCATTTAATGAAATCAAATGAGTCAATAAAAATAATATTATATTATCTGAGAAATTGTGTAAACAAAAATTTTATATTGAATTTATAATTATATGTAACACTGTACAACATATAATGTAAAAAGATCCTCCAAAATCGAGGATTGTAATTCTTTAACTTTATTACCTTGAGGCTTCTTGCTTTGAGGGTTCTCACTTTCTCTATAAGGAAGATGCCAAGAGAAATTGATAAGTAACTTTTACAAAACGATATTGCAAACTTAAACATCAAATATCAGTGAGCAACCCACGCTTTGAACAATGATTTATAATCTAAATTGCAATTTAAACTGTCTTATCAAATATTAATAATTAATTTTATCAAATATTAATATAAAATTAAATCTACTTTCCACCAATAGATGTCAGCGCAATATTCAGAATGTGAAATTAAAGTTTCATGAAATCCAGTTGTATTTCTATGTCAGTATTGGTATAGGGACAGTATTGCAATAAATATGATTCATTTGGAAAATAAAACTTTTACAAAAATTTAACTAAATCTAATATAATATAACAGTATCCAGAGTACACTGCGGCAGTACATACATACCAAAGATTTAACATGCATTCTTAACTCGAAATTGAAAAATATCTACAGCAACTGTATAATATTTATGGCCATTTGAAAGCAATGTTCTTTTTTCTCTCATTTGCTTTAAACGAATGCCTGATATCTTGGGGGGGGGGGCACTCAGGACCACTTTACAGACTAACCTGCCTTGTAAGCATTATTGTATCAGACACTTTACCTGTGTATACCTGGAAAGCTTGATGGGAAATTAATCAGAATTGGAGGTAAATCAATATTAATCAGTCAGTTGGATTCCTTTGAGTGAGCACCTAAGTGAATCTACTTTATAAAGGAAAATACCCAATACTTATTAAGGATTCTGTAATAGAAACTCCTCTCTGTAATAATCCATCTTTGAATTTCATAACCAGTCCTTGAAATAATCTGTAATAAACTTATTAGGTAATCAAGAACATATAACTTGCATTAGGATGCATGTTCTACTATAATCATGGACAAGCTTCTATTACCTGTTTTAAAATAGGATTTGAAATCCATCACCTAACATTTATTCAAGGCCAATCTCATAAGTGATGTCAATCCGAATGAATGTTTTCATTCGGATAAATTGTGCTGAACAAGCACAAAGGGCAACATTAGAATTATACATCGTAATGTGATTTCAATTTCAACAATATAAATTGTTATATCCACTATTTGTCTCATGACTAGTATTGTATTTGAAGTTTTGCAATTGCAGCTGACATCTGTAACATATTGCAACAAATTAAGTTTTTATTAAAGTTTTAGCAATATTTACATGGTAATCAACATACTATGTGTGGCCTGCCATCTTTAGGATTCACAAATCCTATAAACCATGAATCTGAAGTTGGGATAAACATTGTTGACTAGCAATAATAATCATAATTTTTATTTTTATTTTAGTTGTATGGATAATAACAATGAGCAACATCTGAAAACAAAACCCAGCAATCTGATAAATTATTATCAAAAATTATTGTACAAGAACTAATTATATTTAAATAAGATATTTAAATTGTAAAATAGTAAGGATTTTAACAATAACTGATATTAGTAATGAAATGTAATAAAATCAAGCCAGCAAAATTGTTGTTTTTGAGGTCATATCTGAATATATGGCTGGGGTTTTAAAATAAATCTTAGAGACCTTTAAACCAATTTACAATGATTTATGTAAATGAAACCATCGCGTCCTGAGCATTGTAGTTTTAAACTGGTAAATTCAAAGTTATGTTAACCTATGTAATCTATTTACATCGAGAATGAAATCAAATATAGAAATCAAATAAAATCAATTTACTCTTTATTAGAGCCAAATGGGATCATCCTTTATACAAAATGTATTAACACAGTTTTTAGCGGAGATTTCTTTGAGGTGAAGGATTAGTGGAATGCAACAAATATTATTGTTATGCATTGTCTGTTTGTATAGGCCGATAATAGTATGAGGAAATTTCTATGAAGATCTTATAGATTTCCTGAATTATAGACTAATGTTATAGGGAGGTCTGTATGGATTAGAGAGATCACATTACACAATGCAAATTCCATTGTTTGATCTAACCCCTGATGTTTCTTTCTATTTTAGCTTTGATCATGTGACCACTTCTGACCAATCAGAGTACTGGAAACAGATCACAAGACTCCTACAGTTTGTGATTGAGGGTTATCATGCAAGGTGCCGATTGATTGACTTAAGTGACGGATAACTAGCTATTACAGGCAAATGGATTTCAGCGTTATCTACCACTGGGCAAACACGTAAGAGCTTTACTTTTGTAGATTAACTGACAGATCAGAATCTATTAATCTAAACTTTGAAAAAATATTCTTTGTTATGCTATGTAACATTGTGTGGCCTTTGAAGCAGAGCCCCATGGGCGGATTGTGAATGGCCAATTGTACAGAAGTATAATAGGTAGGTTTTTACAACGGATATATGACTTTTACTCTAAGGCTATTCCAGCGCAAAACATCTATTGTATTATTATATTGACTCATAAGGTTTTGGCAGCTTGGTCAGCCTGCTTGGCATTTCAAGTGTCTGCTATACATAGGAATACCTTCCGGCATAATATCAACAACTTTAAGAATTCAAAACAGATTTTAAAGATTTAAAGAGAAGAAATAAAATGTAACTAGGCATATCATAGAAAAAAATGAATAGAGGGATTATCACATACTTAATACTGTGGATATGAAGCCTGTCCGGAATGTAATTTTTGATAAATTATTTACCAGGGAATTATGACATTAAAAGGATAAATGGTTCATGCTGAATTATATATGAAAGAACCATAGACCGACTGTGAATTATAGTGACATAAGTGGACAACCTGATAGAGTTAATATCAATAAAATATTGGAAAGGGAAATAGATATCTATTTTATGGCTAACAGAGCTTTTCATTTAACAAAGTGTTTTTAATACTAACTGATAAAGGACCGCTTGTTCTGATAATGCTGAAATTGAGCAAATCATTACTTTTTCAGGTTACCGGAACGCCAATTTCTGATATATGAAACCTGATAGTCTCCTGCATTGAGAAAATAATCAACAAATAACTGCTGAGAATATAAAATGAAAATGCCAGCTGAAGTTCAAAATAGTACGCCACCTGTAATTATGGGAAACCCAAAATTGCCAGATACAACTGTTGACTCATGGATGGATATAAAGACATCAACGCCAATGTCAAGACAGCCGCGATTGAAGGTGCGAGACACTGGCTTGATGGGAAGTAGTAAGAAGTTGTATCAAAGACGCGATAAATCCCCTGTCAAGATGGGTATGATTGGTGGAGAATGGGCCCTCAAAGAATGTGAGGTAAGTGCAATTTTTAATTCTTACTATCAAAATGTGTTTTACATATTCAGATTGTCAAATTGTCAGCAAGGTTACTTATGATAATCTTTGTGGAAAATGGATTTTGTTTTTCTCCAATGGGTGATAATCAAAATGTTGAATTACAAATGTACTAAGATTAATTAATATTTTGTGTGACATTGACAGAATCATAAGTTCATCTTATGAATAAGCAGAATCTCAAGAGCATTGTAATTGTTCTTTACTACAGAAGTCATCATAAACTTTACAAATACTACAGATGTCATATTAAACATTACAAATGTCAAAGTCTGAGAACTTTATAAAGTCTGACATATACTTTGAATTGTTTTATATTCTTTGTATCTAAGATACCTTTACTATTAAGTATGATATGGCTAACTATAGCGAATGAACACAGGTTTCAGATTTCAGACATCTTGACGTACTGATAAACCAGTCTGAATAACAAGAATGTTTGTTTAATAACGATGTCTTATCTTTAATTGTTTTGACAATGGTATGAATTGTAAATAAATTCAGTTTGAAAATATTTAAATTGATAAATTATGATAAGAAATTGCCAAGAAATGGAGCTTGATTCCTTGGCTTCTTAGTACCAATGGAATATTCAAGTTTGAAACTTAGCTACGTTACAATTCCCAGCTTGATAATCTCAATCATATAAGTTACAAATTGAATTGTATTGTCTTTGATGTTGACTACATTAATTGATGACATAATTGATTAATTAATGAGGTACTGAGATTGTGTCACTGTTTGCGTACATTGATAGATATGTTTCTGTGATATCATGTGGTGATCTACCCTGAATCCTGATTGGCCCCTGAGTCCCCATACACTCTGACTTTTCTAGATGATTTAACAGGTTTGAAGCTGATACCATCTCAATGATCTTAAATATATCTTTCATGGCAATATTGTGAAATTAATATCAGATACACATTATTGTTTTGGGTGCATTGTTTTGATTTGTTGAAAACAAATTCAAACAAACTTCTATACTTTGCAAAGAATCATCTCTCTTTTTAAGAGTTAGACAAAGTTGAGCTGTTTTAAAGGGTGTTCCTACATCCCCAATCTGCACTCCGAAATCATAGTACTGTATGGTACATTAAGAGCATGGTTCTGTAGAGTTTCGTTTACAGCACAATACGGTACTGTTTTAGTCATTGGTACTGTATGGTGCCACATTTTACGGTACTGTACAGCATCATAGTCAAAACTGTAAAGCTGGCACTGTTAGAGATTTGCTGTGTAAGGTACACTGACATGCCATTACATAAACACCTAGTTTCAGAATTCTCCCTTTCGCGGTTCGCCCTTTGAATCAGAACGTTCGCAAATATGCACTGAAAGAGCACTCAAAAAGGACAAAATTTGATTGGTCAATAATTTCTTACTATGCATTTCGCGTAGCTATTTGCGTGACCCGAAAGTTCTAAATCAAACTAATTACGCAATTTTGTTTTTACACCCGCACGCTAAATAAAACAATGTCACCATCGGAAGTGTTCTTCTTTGTCATTGCTTTAATAGTCAGTATACCGAGTTTAATCAATGAAAAATTTTACAATGAACAACAAAATTTGGAAACGAGTACTATAGATTTGCTGAACAGATTGACCTAGATAATAGCGACGCGTCTTCTTTGGTCTACTGCTCAGTTGTTTGTGGGTTTTCAACGTAACTCTATAATGTAATTTGAAGATGAATACTATTATTCAGTTGTTGCATCGATGTTGCAGTTTGTAGTGCGGTAAGATTTGCATGAAAGTATTGAACGTCGAATGGAATTGTTTTTTCCAATATGGCGACTAGTCAACTGATCACGTGACCTTCTCTTCCGGAATATTTTCTCACTTTTCAATCATCGTTTTCACCACGCCATGAATCAATACAATGAAAAAAATAGCTGTTATATTAAGATTAATAAGAGATCAATCGTTTCTCATAATTTTTTCTGTACTCTCGTACGGGAATATGAACGAATATATCGATTGAAAAATAGGTGTGAAAATCCCCATGTTAAACCTATGAGGGAAAACAAGGAAGTAAAAATTTGTTCCTCCGCGAACTGCATCATGGGAAATATTTTGACCTTATAAGGAAGGATTTTTGCGTCTCCTCTTTTGAAGAGGGAACAACGATTTCGAGAATTAGCATAAACTCTACATGCTTATGATGTTTGCCAATCAATAGCACTTCAAACACATTGTCATTGAAGGGGTGTGATACATTGTTGATACATTGTTGATACAATGAGGGGGATATTCCCAGGTGATGGAGAGGGTGTTATTGCCAGGGGGTATTCTCCGTACATCGAGAAGAAGTCATCTTATTTATTATATTTTTGGAGTTAACAATTTCAAATGATATGAAAACAAATCCACCTATAGATTTGATAAATAACTATTTCATTTCAATTGAATATGATAATAAAGAGTAACATAATATAAAAACATTTTTGGTAAATATTAGGTTTAAACTGAATTGTGTTCTATTCATGCTTCCTGTTTGGGACATTTATTTGCAATAGAAGGTAAATAAACTGGTCAATAGATGAAGATATTGATACTTAAAAGTGTAAAATGAGTTAATTCATTTTGATATTTTGGTGCAATGTGTGAACTTTCTTCTTATAATAACATCTCATATGGTTGGGGACCTGTCATTTTGCAGTCATTTTGCTAATGCTAAATCTCGAGCAGATATAATCCTGAAATTAGTATGTTTCAGTTTTTTTAGAAAAGCTTCACAATTTCATCACATGTATCTTTATGTCAGGGTATGATAATAGAATATCAGTGTGGTGTATCCATAATATGTTTTTAAAAAAAATGTTTACATAATATTAATCATTACACATAAGAAGTCAGATAAAAATCAACCACAACCTTAGGGACCTGATATATGAAATATTGCACATTTCAATGATTTAATCCTTGTGAAATGTAACTAATAATTCCAGGGACTTGCTTACTCAATTGATTAGGGTTCCTATATACAGAATGGCTTTTGATATCAAGTTCCATAGCCGATGGAGGAGCCATATCGATCATGTTATTAGGAATATCTCCATTTTTAAAATTCCAAAAATGCCTTATTAAGTTAGCGCATGTAAACACAACATTAGTTGTAGCTGTCAAGTGGGCAAATATTATTATTACAACCATATGATGGTTAATGCCTTGTAGCAACAACGCATTGCGTGGTCCACGAGACTTGAAATAATTCCCTTAGTAAAAATTTGCAACGTTTGAGTTTTAAAACATGAAATACGCTGGAATAGAAAGGATAATGGTGAATTGAAATAAATAATTTTAAAATTTACACTCTAAATTGTACAGAAATTCAAAAAATTGAGTATTTCATTGACGTTTAAGAAACTATGATATGAAATAAGTATAGCCAGAGCAAATTTTTAACAGGGGATTTTCAAATATGATCAAAAATACTGTTGATCTTACATTGTTTAGTAAAGTAAACTGGCTGATTTAAATGATGTTATTTTAATATATTTCCAAAAGAAAACATTTGGTTTGACAATATTTGTTATATCATGTTTGTGAAGAATTCTGTTAAATGGCTTTTATGGTGCCATGGGTTAGATCCGCAGAATAGAGTCTTGCTTCAAAACCCTTGACTCCCCTGTATCTACTTTAACAACAGGCTGTTGTAAAGTAGATAAGGGAAGGGGTGGGGTCCAGAGTCTTTTTTATATATGACTTTCTCCAAAAATTCTTATGTCCTACAAATGTACATGCTGATAAAACTTGGTATTGTCGACAAAGTCATCTGGGAAAATCTGTTTTCTCTTTGTTTTGAACAATTCTGAGAAACATTTCACATACATTGTGTTTTCTGGTTGCAAAATATTGCATTCTGAATTTCATTGTACTCCTTGAAAATTCTTTTTCTAACATTTATATATCCTTCACTGTTGCTTTAACACCAATATGACCCCATGCGATGATCTAACAATATGCTACCATATACACAATGTCATGTGTCCACAATAGAAGTCAAATAGAGAACTCACGTCAGGTTAGTTTATGTACTGCATCATGGAAATCCGTTATTATGGAAATGTAGACGTTTATATGTTAATTTTAGCAGTTGGAATTATCAGTACAATTGAAAAAATTATACCCAATCAAAACAATATTTATGTAACTTCTTGATTTTCAAACAAAACATAATACTATTTCTGTTAAATCCACTTTTCTGTTATTATTTAATTTGAATATCCCATAAAAGAGTGTTAAAACTGCACTTTGAAAAATGCTATTGCAGTAATTTCACTAATAATACGATCCATAATCCATAACGTAAAGTGTATTTTTTGAATATTTTCTCATTGCAGCTAGAAAACATCAGAAACTCACAATGATTGCTGTCACAAATTGAAGTAACACTAAAATATCAACCAATATTTTTCTGAAGAAAAATGTTTTTTCTATCCATTGAAGAAGAAATGATCCACCAACTAGAACTCTAAATCTAGAATTGAACATTTAAAAAACATTTAGAACATTATAAAATGAAGATTTAATATTCCATCCAATTATTTAAATTAGAAATAAAAAGCCAAAAGATGCATAATCCATATATTTATAGTCAATCAATCAAGCCACAAGAGTAGGACACAATTAAATCAATATTGATTGTTTACATAAGAATCACTTTTTGCATTAATGGTGCATAAACATTTGTAATATTGCCCTTTGTACAGTTAGAATGTCAATTTGGCTCTGAGTTTTGATCAAATTAAAGGTAATAATGTAATACATGGGCTTCTATAGTTCTGGTAGAGAAACTGAATATGTTATTTAATATATATATAAAACATAAGAGGTAATTGATGAATCTAAAAAGCATGAAGCTGTTTATTTATATTTCATTTGCATATTTGTACAATCTTTGTTATATGGGTTGATCAGTGTAACCTGGGAAAGGGTAGGACAACTAATATTTTTCTTATCTAAAACATTTTTTGAAAAGCTCTCCTCTATGTGATGCTTTGTATGTTAATATATCATGTTGCATGCAAGGGATAATTTCTTTTCAAGTCCAACAAGATAATGTTTAAAAGACAGCATGACTTGATGTGTTGTTAACTAAATTAAGCATATATTCAATGTGTAAGCGTAAGTGGCAACGGAAAATTCTAAAACTGGTTACAGAAGAAAGAAAACATCTTAGAGTGCGCCATTCACAAGGAAAATAAACCCCAACTATCCCAATATCATAATCCAACATGAAAAGAAACAGTATCTTACCCCCTCCCCCACCATTCAAGTACCAATATCACAATCCGAGACCATACCACCAAGGGATATTTCATGCATACTCATATTCATTCCAAATATTCAAACCGGAATGATACTTTTTCATTCTTTACCTTTTCAGTATGGAATGAACATTATATTTTATAACACGAGTGCAACTGATGTTAGAATTAAAATGATCAGTAATGGAATTATCAGCTCTAAACATGCCATATGTTGTTTAGTTATAAAACACAAGCTTAGATGTGATGGATGAGAAATTGATCAAAGGTTTGGAAGCTATAATTCAGTTGTCTGATGTCTAACAATGATATTGTTTTAGTTTTCTTCGTTGGTAGTGGCATAACCTGTTGTTTCCATAGAAAGATGTCACCACTGGATTTTAGTGTTATTACTTGATTGTAAATTCTACATCTTGCTGCCAGTAGTAGAAATCATACTCATTAACACTCATTACATATCTAGAAATAGGATTGTCGAAATTTTATCGTTTAATACACAAATCTCCTATTATGTCATTAAAAATGATCAACAAGATTTTTAAGCTATAAACGAAAGGCTTTATTCCTCAGGCATAGTACATTAGTTATTCTCATCACCAATTAACATGATTTGTTTGCTAAATAACCATCAGTATCAGTATATAAAACTAGCATATTGTACTGATTCCAAAAACTCAATTTATCGCATTAAAGTCCAAAACCTTTTTTTGAAAAATGTGAAGTCCTCCATAGGTTAAATTGCCAGTCACTCAGATCATAGTTAAGAGACAGCATGATATATTCAATTTTAGAAAAGTAAACGTATTATATGTAAATAAAGTATCCAAATCAGAATATAACTGTTTTGTATCCCCTCCCACGATATGTTAAGGACTTTACCTATATTGATACGAGTGGTACATGAATGCAACTAATATAAGCATTAAAATAATCTGTAGTGGAATTATTGGCTTTTAACATGAAACATAACATATGCTGTCTATAAAATACAAGCTATGTTGTGATGGATGAGAAATTAATCATAGGTTTAGAAGCTATAATTCAGTTGTCTCATATCTAAAAACGATATGTTGGTTGAAGCATAACTATTGTTTCCACAGAAAGATGTCACCACCGGACATAAATGACATACTACTTCCCATGTTCTGTAAAGTGACTTAAGTAATTGAATGCTCCATATCTCATACCAAAATCTGTGATGAATTTTGCCATTTTTTTTTTTTGATAAAAAATAGTGGTATTTATCATATTGTGTTTCGTTCAGTCATATGGTTGAAGAGGAACCAGAATATTGTCATATCAATGCTTGTCAAATTTTCTGCATAGTGACCATACACAGAATTTATAGTTTCATACAACCAGAACCCAAACGTTCTCAGTTAATATTGCTTGATATCAGTTAATATAGCTTGTTATTTGGTATTCAAGCACAGAATACTTCATCAGCACGAAGTGAGAATCTCCAAATGTGTGATTGCCAATCATTCAAAGTCTTTATTCACTAACAATTCATTATTTCATACAGTTGAAGCATTTGTATTTGCATTTGCCATGTATCACACATGTGACACATTTTTGGTATCCTTCCATCTTTCTCTGTTTGCAGCCTTTGCATTTTGAAAACAGATTTGTACCATGTTTACACTTTTTGCAGTAGTACTCACCTAAAATACAAGAAATGCATATAAGATGTAACATAACACAAGATTTATTTAAGAAGATACTGTTTATAGATATTGAGCTCTTTACGTAGTATTATATTCTATACTGTGACAGTGTTGCAGTTTTCTTAGTGTATTCTTCAAGAAGTAATGTTTGAGGGTTGAAGAGGTTAGCTTTAATACATTTTCCAATCACATAGAATTACATACTGTTTGGACACTTGGATTCTGGCATTGAGTCATTGTCATAGAAATTACCATCTGGGAAACACTTTGCATTATTCTCAAGAGAAGCACCTTTAGAGGTTAATTCACCAATCTGAAAGCATATGCATGCAAAAAGAGAAGAATAAAGGAAATGAAATGGTTAGCAATATACTATTAAAAGTATATCAAATTAAATGATCTCTAATTATTGTGTGAAGTGTGTTAAATTGTTCTTAAAAAGGCAATTTCAGGTTCAAAATAAATTCAATGTAATTTTATCATTTTTTACTGATTGTGAACAAAATAAATGCACTGAGTTATATAATGTTAAAAACCTTTCGTGGAGTCCCATCTGCTTTCCAGTAGAAAATATCATAACCATTAACACTCTCCCAATCACGTATCTCAAAGTTCTGGCCTGAATTATTAAAGCAACTTAAATGTTAACAGGGATGAACTGTCAAACCTAAGTCATTAGATTGAACAGACTAGGTAAATAATTTGGTGAGGGGTAAGGGAATAATATAAGTTTATGACTGAATAGATTCTGCTTGGGCATATGTAGAGACAAATGGAGTATATTTCATATCATTACATAACTGTGGTATCAAATTGCTGCACCAAACCCAACCAACCCAATTGGTATATTAATGATTAATTGACTGTATCCATTTGCAATTTTCAGTACTTGTTTGTGATAATGCTGACACATCCCACATGCCAACTCATACTTTTCTATTGCCACTATTTTTACTGTTCATTGATAGTAGGTTAGCTACATAAGATTATACCATTGACATCCTTGAAGGACATATTTCCCATTGTTTGAATAATCTCTTCTCCGAATGCTGTTCCAAATTCAGGACATACAGCCATGGCTCTTGACCCACATTTCTCTGTTAGTCTCTTCATGGTAGCTATACTGAGTGCATACACAGCATTTATCACATGCTTTACATAGGTGCTTTGACTATACTCTTCAAGTTCTGTTACGCTTCCCTTGGTAGGGCAGGTAGTGTTTTGACATTTGTGCATAGCTTCAAAGTACTTGTTGAAGAAAGGATTGGATGGACAACACCCATATCTGAAGATTAAGAGATAAGGCAATGATAAAAATAAGAAATAATAATAAAGTATATGTTGATAAAGTATAATAAATGTTCATCATTTCAATTTCAAGTATTGTAAACCTTTTTGGGTTTTTCTTCAACATGTATCATAATGACTAGGTTATGCCTGAAATGTCACATGATCTTCTTTTGGATCGCAAAAATGATTCCTGAATGGTGGTGAACATTTTGTTTCTTTATAGGTTAGATCATGGTGTAATGACCTTCGATAGCAATTAGTTGCTACGTTTACAATCTCTGCTGTAGTGGCTAGCCTCTTTGGTAGAATTGGTAGAGTGTCTGACTTGAGAGTGGAAGATCCTGGGTTTGATTCCCGCACTGGGCATTGAATTTAGCACACTCCCTTTTGGGTCTAGTATCTGGCTCGTTACACTACAGCTCCCCGACGGATGTGCCCAAGGGTCGTTACAGTAGTTTGGGAAAAGTTGGGTTTCATTTCATTTTCTTTGTGTATTCTATAAAATTCTCTTTGGTCTTTTCTCTTTTATCGTTGTGCTTACATATTTACTCAATATTTTATCAAGATGAAGTTGTCTAACCTGAGAGTTGCCATAAATGCATCAAAAGCTGCAACATTCTCTCCATATAAAGAAACAGATATTGACCCTTTAGCAGCATCTTCGTGACCTTGGACCACATGTTCCGATTTCCCCCATGTCTCTGATCCAACAAATACTAAACCTACAATAATAGTTGATAATAAACATAGTGTTTTAATGAATTTCAACTAACAACATCAACTTAAATATATTTAATAAAATTCCAAATATCATTTACTCAAAAAGCATAGAGCATTTTCCATTGAAAGTAGATCACTGGATAAATATGTTGAGGTTCAACTTTAATGTTCATATATTCTAATTTTTGGGTTTTCCACTTTTGCCATTTTGCTTACATAATGTTGACAATGGTCACAATAGTCAATGTTATACAGTGTGTATCAAAAAAAAACGCAACAGATTGTTATCTCGGAAAAGCACAAAACCAATGATAACAGCATTAATTTCATTCAATGCACCATAAAGCCATGTGTCTCCTCTTCACAATGATATATCATTCATTGTTGATATTTGGTCATGGTTGGGCGAGTAATCATTCCATTTGCAAAGTGGGCCAAAATAAGCTTTTGGCCAAGTTATAAACATCGCAAAAGTCAGTGTACGGAGCCTGATGCAATATTGGAAAAAAACATAAAACCAATGCTGACTTCATCCCTTTCATTCAATGTTCCAAAAAGCCAAATTACTTACCCAAGTTTTAAAAAATGCAAAAGCCAGTACAAAGGGCATAGGGGCTATTGGAAGAAGATGTGACAGGTGTGGCATAGACAGTAAAGTGTCCATACTCATACTCTTGCAAGAATACATCCTATACCTCTCCAAATTGCCACCACTTCCTTGCACATAAAGATGCGCTCAAAGCAGAGAAAAGCAGCCCATGGGCAATTCTTTCTCGAGGTTTTGCAAATCTAGTGGAGGAATTGTGAGCACAGATGCTCCTGAGATAGCTCCAAAAGAAAAAGTCACAACAATTCAATTCAGAGGAACTTCCATTGGCACTTAGCCCTTGCACTGATTTTTGCAATATCTAAAACTTGGCCAAGAGCCGATTTTGACCCACTGTATAAACGGAAGGATTTCTCACCCAACCATTATTACATGTGAATGATAGACATATCATTGGAAAGAGGAAAGATGTGGCTTTATGATACATTAAATGAAATTGATGTTGTCATCACTAGTTTTGTGATTTTACAAGATAACTACTTGTTGCGTTTTTTTGATACGCCCTGTATTGGCATTTATCAATATAGATCTTATCAACCTAGAGACTTGTCCTGCATGTTCTCACTTACGTTTGACTTTTTTATCTGTAATATGCGATTTCTTTGCTTCTAGTATGCTTCTCAATACATTTAACCTTCCTAAAACCAGAACTACATCCGTCTTTGAGGTGTTTCCCGCAATTGCTAAAATGATTGCTTCTGCATTTGATGAATTTGATTGAATCTAAAAATATATAAATAATTTAGTCTTCATTTAAAACGCATCAAATTATATTGCATTTACATTGCTTTGATTGTTGCATCATTACAAAGAAAATGTTTTTAAAATATTCTGTTAAGCAAGGTGAATCCCAAAACGTAAAATTAATCTGGTAATTTTTTGATTGTCAAATGCTATAAGTTAAAACAAATAGATACATCCTTGTATTGACTTTAAATACAATTAAACAAACATTTAACCTTTTCTAATCAATAAATACATAACATTGATTGAAGTGTTTAATGAGGAATAACATAATTTCATTTTTTACCTGAAGAAAATGACTAGTTGATATACACCCCCCTTCTCGTAAAAATTCTGTCCTGAACTGCATTTCCAAGTCACTTGCATATGTTGACCCATCTTCAATGATGACATGCACATTAAACCAACCCACACGGATCAACATGGCTGCCAGGGCAGGACCCTGGATATACATTAGATAATTTTCAAGAGCCAGTTCAATTATCTGTTAACAGTCTTGTTTTTTTTTTATTGTAGATTATCATTATATAAACTGGCTGATATATCGTTTGCATGGTTAAATATGCTTTCTAATTAACACATTTTTTAATTAAAAAAATATCTACTTTTTCATATTAAAAAGTATTGAATGATGCAACTGTAAGACTATAGACATTATATCTTAAATATTTACACAGACATTGTACAAGACCACAGCCTTTATTTTATGGCAAATCCATAGTGACATATTTGTTATTCTTATCCCATTCTTTAATCATATTGATACCCCGCAATGTCTGATTTTATATTTTGATATTTTAAAATTCCAAAACAAATCCTCACCTGCTTGTCATCTGATGGTATGGTTCTAACAAAATAAGGGAACCTGGTTCTGTTGCTTAATTTTGGGCTTGATGCAAATGGTGCTACTAAAGCTGTCTTTTCAGTCTTCAAGTAATCAGCAAGTTGTATTGTTTTATCACTGTTAGATGATCCAACAACTCCAACAACCAATGAAGAATTAATTGGCTTGCCTGTTGGATCATTTATCTTTATATAGCCCCTTAAGAATTCTTTAACCATTTGAGTTCCACGTTCAGCATCTTTACAGTCATCCATAATGATAGCACCAATTTTGACATCCAACTCGGCAAACTGTCCCTTTTGTCTATTGACTTTTTTTAGAGCAAATGCGACAGCATCTGTGTACTGGTAACCGGAGTTTGTGCGTATGCCTGTACATCCTTCTTCTGTTAAGGCAAATACTGCCACAATGTATACATCACCCTCTATGACCACAAACTTGGGTTGTGGTATGATATGTGGCAAGCGTGGCATGATATCTATAATGGCTGTGGACAAAGCCAGGATATTCACCAGGCTGAAGAATATTCCTCGAATCCACATTTTGATACCTGAAGGAGAGGTTGAGCATGAGTAAAGTAAACCTGGTAGACATTTTCAGTAAATACAACCCATTTTGGTGAAAATAAATTAATCCTATATCTGGCCTTGTCACGTGGCATCTTTTAAATAGATCTCACACCCTAGAAGTGTATCAGTTAAGAAAAATCATAGGAAAGTTTACAGAATTTTCATAATGTGTACCTATCAAATTGCAATTTATTTATAAACTTTCTAATGAAACATTTAATTATATTACCTGTATCTTGGGAGTTGTTCACCTGGTTAAAACTGCTCTTTGATTAACTGCTATTTCGTTTAATTTCCTAGCTTTTCCAACAGTTTGATTTTGCCTTTACAATAAACAAATTAGACGCTGACACTAAAGGTATTTGCTTTTTACTGTTTTATTAGTACTCATATTTAATAATGTATGTAAAGTTTAAATTGCTCAATGAAAATTAATAATACATTCATAAAAATCAATATGATGTAATTTTGATTTGCTACTCTGTCTTTCTTTATTATCCCATCGAACAAAGTTCGGAGGGGTAAAGGGAACGCCTCCATCCGTATGTCTGTCTGTCTGTCCGGATGACAACTCAAATACCGTTGGCCCGATTTTGTTCATATTTTGTACACATATGCTCTATGGGGATAGAAGTTCTGCTCGAAAGCCGATTTTCAAAATGGCTACTTGTTTCAAAATGGCCGCCATTTTAGTGCAGATTTTACAGTTATTTAGGTACAATATGTGAAACTGTAATAGCAATATGTTTTAAATGTAAAAAAAAATATAGGACATGAAATGTAAATATTAAATGCCAGCCATGGCTGTTCGATGGGATTTGTTACACTTTGGCGTTGCTGTTGTCTAGTTAGAATATATGTAATCTTAATGAATGTGTTGCGGATGCTCTTAATGAATGTGTTGTGAATGCTCTTAATGCATGTTTTTCGGATGCTCTTGATTGTGAACATAAATTACAAGTCAGGCCCTAGCAAGCTTTGCAAAGGGGGTATCACTTTTCAGAAAATTCCAGGGAGTTCATATACTTTGGCCCAAAACCACTTGAAAAATACTCAGAATGGTGAAAACTGCATGATTTTTGAAAAGAAATTGACCAGGGGTCACTTGAACTCCCCATGGCTATAGCCTGCACATATTTCATAGAGGTGTTTTATGTATTGCACTGCCTTTAAATACCAGGTGATTGTGCTATTATATAATAATGATAATGAATCATAAATGTAATTTTATCAATAATTGATTTTCAATATAGGAAATATAGTACACAGAGAACATTGATTTTCCCGGTACATTCAATCTTGCATAAAATGCCATGGAAGTTAGATTTGAAATAATATCAGCATTGAAACTGTAGGATTATCTGTATAATAATCAGAGTGTAGCCAGCCTATGACACTTCAGAGTAAATTGTGATCCATATAAGATTCTGTATATGTGGTATTTAATCCGAGTGGTTAATTTGCTGAATGGTCAAATTTTATAATTTTCCTAATGACAAGAAACTTCCCATTGGATAACATTATGAAGATAATATTTCCGACATTTAATTTTCAAAATTAGGCAATAGGGAAATTAAATGATTAAATCATCAATCAAACCCACTACAAACCTGTTTGATAAGGTGTGTAGCCAGGTAGTGGGAGGGGAGAGGGGAGGTCACAGGGGCTTGTAGCTAGACTAAAGCTCTCTGTACCAACAAGTAATTGATAAAAAAGTTACGATAAGCCAGAGCTTAACACAGCAATCCTTAGTGTACCAATTTCACAGTAACATGGCGCAACTGCAGTATGGTACTATATAATACCATATATGGTATATGGCACCATGATTTCAGAGTCCTGGGGTATGGGTGTAATAACAGCTAAACATTTTTGCAATCAACAACACATTTCATTTCCAAGAATTTTTTGTAGGATTCCATTGAACTTCTTTTTCAATGTTTATGTCCCCACCCCACAGTCACCAATTTTGCTTGTTAATTCCTATCCTGTTAGATAAAATTAAAAGAGTAAAAAAAGAATATAATTAAGAAAGCATACTGATTTTTGTGAATATCTAGTATTTATATACAGTAAAACCTGTATGGAGCCACAAAAAGTGTTCACTGTAGGTAGGTGTTCACTACAGATAAGGGATTTTATACAGGAGTCAATCTAAAATTTGTCTTGAAGTGGTGTTCACTAAACACAGGTATTCACAAGAGAGAGATAGAGAGAGATGTTCACTAAGATAGGCTTTACTGTACATGTATACTAGCAAGGGTACCATATTTTGGCCCAACCAGTATACAAATAGTGACTGCCATTGAGGGCAATAGTGTAAATTATTTCCCCGAGGGAATATCCTCTACAATGTACTATTCCCGAAGCCGCAGGCTGAGGGAATAGTATATTGTAGAGGATATTCCCAAGGGGAAATCATTTACACTATTGCTCGAAATTAGGCAGTCACTATTTGTTTTATTATATACCCTATGTCCCGTTTCCTCTGTGAAGGCCAAAAAGGCTTAGAAAGCCCCCTCCCCGGGTCCATTGTTAGCATTATAAGCTGTGACGTCATCAGATGCTCAACAGAAATTTTTGCCTCTGAGACTCTCACTTGACAAATTCAATCGCGTTTAACACGCGGAATAGATTATCATAACACTTTAAATTACACAGACGTATTGAGCTTAGGGAACTTTATACACGTTGCTTATATTGTATCGTTCACGCACGTCTGTCATGGTGAACGGAGTTGATTTGTGTTTGTGCTCATCCTCCATTTTTCTGTTTTTCGTCTGCGCAGTGATGATGAGCAGACGTTTCCAAGGGTAATAGAGCTTGCAATTGTGACGTCAGCGGGCAATAGTTCAAATGTATATTCCCGCTGACGTCACATTTGAGGGAATATAACTTTCCGAGGGAAATAGTAAATCTATTTCGGAACACGTGACTAGGTATTGACCAATCAGGATTAGTGTTACATATTGGGTATATAATAATATACTATAGTTTTTGTTGAATTATTTCATCAGGAACAATCCTTTAGGTAGAAATTTGTAATAGTTAAGGGCAACATAATTAACACCATTGATTTTATTTTTGGTGATATTCTATAGAACAAAAAAAATACAATAATTCTCAGATTACAATAACTGAGGGTTCCTCTTTACCAACCTTGAATAGTATATTATAATTCTCAGATTGCATACTTTGGCAGAGATTGAGGAGGCTTGCAAGCTGATAGGCTTGTCTCATAAATAGCTTTGGTTCATACCTAACAAAAATGTGCTTATCAAGACAATTGTTCTCTTTTCCAGGAACACACAACATGGGCCAATGAAATCCTCAAGGACAAGAAATGCCCCGTCATCATAGATTTACGACGTAGCCTCGCTGATGGACTCACTCTGGTTAACCTACTGGAAATATTAAGTAAGTTTTTTGTAAAATAGTTATTTATGAAAAAATAATATAATATGACAAAGGGCCTATAAACAATGCAAATTAATCGAATACAAAACCTGCTTCATTGCATGTATTACAAAAATTATTAAATGAATGTACATGACACGCATGATTTAGATAACTTTATTAAACATACACATACCCTTAATGATTTATACAGTATACTCAACACAGTACATGTACTTCATAAAAAAACAAACTAATTGACTTTATAATGCTTAAACATATGAACTGTGACTGTGGTATACCCATCCATTTTTTATGTAATATGTAACATTCTTTTTATGTAATATTACATTTATGAATAAGTTCTGCTTTAATTCAAATTAACTTATTTTCATACAATATTTGAATAATAAGAAGTTGTCCTTCTTGTTGAAAAAAATTGATTTACAGATCGAGCATTTGTGTTCCATATACACTATACTTTTTACATGAAAGTTTTATATATACAGGGTGGTCAAAAAATGGAAACCCTGCATTTTTTTGACAACCCTGTACTCATTTTCTATTAAATTGTAGACCTCACAAATTCTTTCATCGATTTATAAATTTAGGCATTCGTATCTACCTGTTTCTTTTTTATCTTGTGATGATTACTGATGCTAAACTTTGTCAACTTCGTTGTATATGCCCATTTGAAATTGAGTCTTAATATGGTTAGAACCCAAAATTACTTTTGAAATTTTTCTACATGTTCAGTTTGCGACATTGGTCGTAATTCAATTGACTGTGCCAATAATTATCACAACAAATTTTTGATTTACAAACAATTTCAGATACATCTATGAGATATTGTTTTAAATCTAAATTCTTATTGAAGATTGCAGATTTTAGTAGCTTATTTGAATATATTCATGTATAGTGGATATTTTTAAAGCTCTCCGTAAATTGCTATAAGTAAATGTTGTATTTGTTGATTTTTTACATGCACCACAGCAATTTACAATCATCTTGCTTTATCATGGCTTCAGTTGTTTCAAGCTTGACATAATTTAAATCCTCACAATCTTAAGATTCTAACAATTTGAAAAGTAATAGAAAAAAACATATACACTAAGATAAATGAGCATGCATGAGAGTTCAAGTGAAATACAGTCTGGAGAATTTGTCACCAGCATCTGTAATTGGTCAGTTTAAAATCATTATACAGGGCGTTAAATAAGTCTGTTCTCCCCCCTTAACTTTTTTGTTTTTTTTAAGTTATCATACTTTCCCATATATCACTTTAAAACTTATGGAAAATGCTGGTCACCCTCAAAAAATCACTAATGAACTTGTCCTAATAAAATTGCTACTATGTCTCTTGTATGGTTGTAATTGACAAGTAAAAATATCCTGCAAAATGCCAGAACTTCAATGGAGCAGAACATATTTATTTGGGCTCAATTATGAAGGACAGGGTTGAAAAATGAGTCATAGATCAATCAGAGGAGAAACATCATAACAATGAAACATGGTTCAAATGTATCAGGAAAGCTCTTAGAAGCCTGGCAAGTGAAACACTGCTGTTTGTGAACATTTTGTAATTGTATCCTTGTAGAATTGAGGTCGTCTGAACTGCTAGGGGGAAACATACGGACTATTAAAAAAATAAAATATGGACATCACTAAAAATGCTCTAAGAAAAAAGGAGTTTAACCATTAATTCTGAAATTTGGTGTGTGATCAGCAAATTAAATTCCCCTTAAGATCATATATAACTTAATCTGTTATTCCTAAATTAGAAAAGTTAAGAGGGGAAAACAGACTTATTTAGCGCCCTGTACATGTACATGTATATTTTATTATACTGCCATCCAAACTCATTCATGCCCTCTTTATGCACAATAAGTTATTTTAACTAACTAACAATAAAAAAATGATTCTTTATTCCTCAAGTGCCTAGCGTGATGGTTAGTTCTGTATAAAGAAAGTAAGAAAACTATTAAGTAATTCTAAGATTGGAGACAATGTTAAAAAATGGTGGATGATACGCAGTGTTTAAAGTTATCAAAGTGTGTACAGTGTTGGTTTCAAACAGCAAGCCTTTTCGTTTGATCTTCTTGAGGACACCACGCCAATGCCTTTGGGGCATGGCCTCTTCTAAACACAAACTATTTCGAACCAAAGCCTGTGATTATCTTAAGAATTGAAGAGAACATGGGAACAGGAGCTACATCAATATTTCATTATTATAACTATTTATTTAAATATTTAATGTTGGTCCAATACTAGCTATACTAATTACAGCAAGGTCATTGGAAAGGTTCCAATTGAAATGGAAATGTAAATCAATTATGATTGCATTTAACTTCTCACCTTTCAATTTTTGCATGAAGGAATTTCAATGACAGGTTAAGAATTCCGGGTTTAATGGAAATTGAGACTCTCGGAGTGTGACGCTCTATTGTGAGTCCATGTTGAATGTGGTTTATGGATCTAGGATTCTATTAAGGTCCTGCACTAAATGTTGGGCAGTTATGTACATTTACAATTTACATTAAAGCAGAAAGAGAGGAGTTGGCAATGAATGAATGAAATGGTCTTCAAGTAATGTACATAATCAGAATGTCTCCTCTTGAGGGGCTTAAGATTTTTTGAGGAATAATGCTTGGAATATGCTTATTAGTAACATTTTAAACATGGGCATTGGGGTGCTCTAAAGACTGTGATCTATGCTAAAGCATGCACAGCATCTTCAGCAGGGACCTGTTATTTTGATGAACAATTTCTTTCTCATATCTCACATAAAGTTAATTTAAATAACCCTTTATTCATCGATTTTTACACTATTTTTTTAACAGTAATTTTTGTTATGATAGCTATTAAGAATGATATTGATTGCCTTTTACCAATGACGTTGGGATGTTTATTTTACCCATAAGGCCATTAAAGTCTCATGAAGAATTATGGGAAGTGTTGTTAATCCACATCCTAAATACATACCTATAACCTCAATCTTGGTTATACTTCATAAATCACATGTTACCAATGATTCCGAATGTTTACACATTGCATTAACTTATTTGTAAAGCGTTCAAGTTTTCAACCCTTAACGTGACTCAAAATGACTGGTGTGTTTAATTTTCCATCTTATTGTTAAAAATTGGAGTTAACAAACACCAAAGTGCATGCACGATAATTATAGTAAGGCAAGCAAGCCATTTGGTAGTGTACTGGGATAATTGGGCACTTTAACGAGTGGAGGAAATCAAGGTAGGTGAATCAACATGTTTAAATCAAGTTCTGGAGAACTAAACATGTGTGCTATATACATGAATACTAAATGGATTAATGAATGTTCATTTAATAAACCATAGACATGCAATACACAGCAAATAGAACACAGTTGGGATTATTAACAAGCAAAAGGGTACAACTGTTTTCAATCAAACCAAATTAATTCAAGTATATATGAAACCTAACATGCAAGGCGGCAACTTGAATCGGTAAGAATATCTTTAATTTCCCAATTGGTTATGTCTTCAAATATATAGAGCAGATCATTGGATGCAATTTGGAATATCAAAGAGTGCTCAAATTCATACAGGCTACTGAAATCATAAGAGTGAATGGTGATAGCAGACTTGCATTCTGATACTCATAGCACCTTTCTGTTTCACCTGAAACATCTCAGGGCTGAGAAGAAATGAGATGTCGCACGTCATGATTTATCATGATGGCAGACTTGTAAAACCAAAGTATTGACATGAGAATATTCATTGACCAAAGGAGTATATAATACATGTAAGTCTGCAAGTATAGGATATCTTCTACTTTGGTTATATAACAAGGATAGAAGTGAAATAAACTGCAATTGAAACAAATGAAAATCAATTGGATATACCCTCAGGGAGATTTTTACATGTCTCTGCCTGATGTACATGTTTATAAAGCCTATCGTAGTACTTCTTAAGAAGTGGAATCAAACAACAGTATTGGAGAGATATCAATACATGAATAAGTTCTAAGATCGGGGTACATGTACAAAAAGGAAGGTAATTAAGCTGTTGGTAGGAGTACACGATATTTGAGCCATGTACCCTTTGCACCATTTAGACTGTTACCCAACCATATTGATTTTAAGGATATCGATTACAAATGAAATATTATCAAACGGGCAAATAACCAAGGAAACATATTTCATTAATAATCAAGTTTTGAAACTCCAAAAATAAAAATAAAAAAAATCGTTAAGCAGAACATGTATTATAACTCAAAGCAGATGGATGCAGTTGTTAAATATATATTGAAATCAGATATCAAAGAATCTATTTGCTTCTCTGTCATTATTTGCAATACTCAAGACAGATGTTTGTTTAACAGTGTTTTTCACATCACCTTAAGCTATTGCAGGAGAGAATATTACCAAGACAGAAAAATACTTTGTAAAACATTTAATTGGGGCTTTCAGTAAACACTTATTCTTGAACTAGAATGACACCTGGTATTTGGGGACATTTATTGTTTAATGTACATTGATCTTTTGAGATACAGTACCAACATGAGTACATGTATAAGGTGCGTCATTGTGGTAAGTCACAGTATCTCCATCTCTGTCCTTCTGGACAAGCATCTACAATGAAAACAGATGCTGTAGGTATCAGAATGAAGGAATTTTGGATGGATTTAATGAATTAGTTTTTTGGATATACATAAAACAAGTACATTAATGGACATAAATCTGCAAAGATATCCTTTTTCATAAAACAGCCAGATATTGGCAGAGGGGATTTCTCTGAACACAATGCTTAAGACATCAGAAGAAGGAAGGAGCAGAGTGGATGATGTCTGGATTGAGCCCTGCATTTTGAAGATGGGCAGCCAAAATATTGAGAAGAAGTAGATGTCATATACTTAGTTTGGGCAGTTCTAGAACTGTGCTCATTGTATTGCATATGTCCACATGTATACATCCCGGGGTATACATGTTTATTCTGCACTGCCCAAACACACAAGGAAATTGAACAAGATTAACAAACAAACAAACAAAAAACAAACAAACAACAATGCCTAAGACATGACAAACAACAATGGAAAAAATAATCCTCACAATTTTGTCAATTTTCTCTTTTTATTAGTTCCTCTTCCAGATGTCCAGTTTAACCTCATCAAAGACTTGAAGAAAGTCTGTGACCAGACCTAAAATGTAATGTCATTGCTTGCATCATACAGACTAGGAACCTTAAACAAGCCAATCAAGCAATGACATATGATAACAGAATGAGTCACCTGATTAATACTGATGCTTCTACTTGAAGTTGTATTTTCTTTGATTATTCGCTCAAACAATAGTTCAACTTGACACTTTAGTGAAGATTAATAACCAGCGAGTCACATTAACTCAAATATTGCTAGGCTCTCATATACCTGTAATACTCCGGGCTATAGCTGCCGGGAATATAAAATAAAGAGGTAATTTTTTTTTGAAATACCAATAATATGAGGTAGATTTGTATCATTCAACCCAGTTTTATCCAAGAGGCATTTAAATATACTAAAGCATGGTCTGGTATAAGAGAAATATTCAGTTTTTTTCTTTCAATAAACAATTGCCCTGTTTGCTATGTAATTAGACTCAGTTATCAATAGGGATATATTACACAGAAGAACCAAGGTTTTTGAATTATTGAATTAATAATTGATGCGTTTTAATATTATATTGCAAAAAGATTGTTTGATGTTATTTTTTGTATTCTTTAACGAGGATTCTTTGATCATAAAATACTGTTAGAAAATACAAAATACAGTGTATAATTAGATCCTATGCTTTTTATATATGGAACAAGCTAAGGATTGTAATGAATAATTGATGGATTTTAATGCAATATTACAGACATTATTCAATGTTATTTTCACATTGTTCAAACAATAGTTCTTTGATGTTTAAGCTTGCATTGAATGCAAATATAAATTACATTTGTAGACTTTTTCACTGCTCTGTATTTGAGAGGGGGAGGGGATACATGAATTTAAAGAGGTATCAGCGAAGGAAACTGTGCTGGAAATGATAGAAAAATGCAGGTTATAACACAAGAAATATAATTTTGGGATAATCTTTCCTGCAGTATATTCCCAGGTCTCAGCATATTACAGGGAAGCCTATTAGCGAGAAAGAGTTAAAAACTGTATTTTGTTATGATCTTTTAATGTAACATTTCAACTTAGAAAATACATTTCACTTGCCATATAACCCCATTCAATAAATGTGCTTTACAAATTGTTCATTCATTATAATGGACTTAAGTGCCATTTGTTGAAAAATTGGCAAATGGCTTTTAAGAATTACTAAAACTGCAGAATAATGACACGCGAGTATTTTCTATATTCAGCTTATTTATACATGGGTAAAATCATTTTACAGTTAAATCACTTTAGATTTAATGCAAGGCCATTATGTGTTGGATTATAGCGTATTAGGGCTAAAACTCTGGAATTTAAATCAAATAAATGTTAAATTTGATCGAGTTTGTTCAACAATATGATGTAGTTGGATTGTGGCCCTTCATGGATGGAATCAAGTTAGAAATTTATGGAACATATAATTTTTTGAAAAATAGGAATCATTTTCAATTAAAAGCTTGGAATAAAGTATCCAAAAGAATGCAATGAGAGCGTACAACTTCTCAAAACAATCATAACCATTATAGATATCCAAATAGGTAAAATTAAATCATAATTCAAACTTGACATGGAATACATCATAGTTAAAAATCTGATAACATTCTTAAATTTGTGCATCTTCAGCGAGGCAGAGAATTGGTGAAGCTGTAAGTCGACCTGTCGAGAAGGAGGAGAAATTGAATAATTTGGAAAACTGCGTGAAGTTTTTAGAAAAACAAGGTGTAGATATGGCTGGATACTCATCAACAGGTAAGCTAAACGAGAGCCTTTAATCTGACATATTGTCATATTTTTGTAAGCTAGACAAGAGCCTTTAAATCTGGCATATTGTTGTATTGTTGTAAGAGAGATGAGAGCCTTTAAATCTGGCATATTGTACCTGTAGTTATTTATCTAAAGAAACAACATCACAAAACAGTGCCTTGGATTTAATATTTGGAATTAACCTTGACCTTTGCCTCATTTTCAGAATTAGCAGACGGCAACCTAAGGTCATCCATTGCGTTCATGAGCAGAATCAGGTCCATGTATGATGTGAGTATAGTTTCATATTTGTAATGATCCATTAAATCTTTATACTATAGCGTGGCATCACAGGATCTTTCCTGAACCAACCAACCACATTGCCGCAGGGTTTTGAGGATTGATTGATTTTTTTTTAAAATTCATATATGATAACCTCTGTTTTTATTATCTATTTAAAACTTCATTTTTATTTGGAAAGAATCAAATTCTGGTACTCTTTAAATTATCAATCATTGATGCTTTACTCTTTTAGCCAAATTATTCACAGAAAGATGTCTCTGCTAGTACCAATGGAGTAGGAAACAACCTTCTGAACCACAATAACCAGACCCATGTTGTCACTGTGAACAAACAGAATGGACACAATGAACACAAGGTTGGCGAGACTACCAAGCAAGAGATTGCTAGGACAGGTAGGTGCAATTATACTAGTACATTACACCATGGGAGTTTGAGTAATGCTCCCATGAGATTTAACAAAGCATACACAGTAAAAAAAACACATACACTTGCCCACCTTAATCCAAAAATGCAACCCCTCATCAAAACAACAAAAGACGAAATTGCATTTCCTACACACAGCACTTCAATAACAACATAAAACAATAGATGGCGAGAGAGAAGAATGTAAGAATGTTCAGTTTTTCTCATTATAGGTGGCAACCCGGTAGTTCCATTTATATCTTATGATATTTCATGACTACTACCAATAGAGGTCAGGGTTGTGAGTAGTGCCAAGAATTCCACAAATGTTGCAATGTTGTTTTAGTTCATATCCAGTATCATAGACCATGGCCAATGTTAAAATGTGAGACATGTGGCCGTGATTTTTCAAATCATTGAAAAATATCTCCTGATCAAGCCATTAGAGCCTTGAAACAGAATTTACCCCTTTTATAAGGTGCCTGAACAAAGGTTAATGCCTTATGTTCACCTCACCTGAATCAACTACACAAATTATTAAAATGTTTCTTTCTTTTTAGATGCAGCTAATTTTCCTCAAGATAATTACATAGTGTGATAGATACCTGACTTTTGTTTCCTAGCAACCATTCATCAGAAACATGCCTGAATCTTTGTTTTATCAAAATGTCATCTCAATCATATTCATGACTTCATGTATTTTTTAGATAGATGATTGATATTGACGACCCCATAAATTAGATATCATGATTGACATTTTTGAACTGTAAAATACAGTGAAAACAGAGAGATCACCATGGAAATAACTAAATACATGTCTTGCCAACACTCTAAATTGTATAGAAATGCAAGAAAATCGGACACTTCATTCAAATTTTAAAGAGAATTGGTGTGTAATAAGCATGATTAAATTGGAATTTAGTCCAAGAGTTGTGTCCGACATTTGATACTGAGATCATGCTGCAATTAACATTTTGTCTATGATACGGCCTCAAGGCAAAAATGTCTTTGTTGATTCTATCTTTTGTATTTTATGTAATCAATAACACGTTTCCCCTTTAAGTATGTATACAATGATCACAAAATAAATGATGTCACATACACGGCTGGATGAGATCAGAAATCATGACCAATGCTCTACAGTTAAATATCCAGGTCCAGTACACTTAAGAAATTAGAACAACGAAAATGAGGAATATTCAAGAAAGAAATTAGAACAACGAAAATGAGGAATATTCAAGAAAGAAATTAGAACAACGAAAATGAGGAATATTCAAGGAAAGTGATTAGTTTTTAATTCAGGATCGAATTAAGAAAAATAAAGGAGACACCAGTACCAACAATTGCAGTGAAAGATCTGCCTATTTGAGCACGAAGGTCTCACTTGTGGTATTATTTTCAAGCATCTTTTCCATAACCAATCTGTCCATGCAGCGCACTGGTCCAACATAAGATATGAACAAGAAAAGGCAATTTATATGTATGTTACCTTCCTGATCTAGGCTATTAGTTCAAAGTAGATGTACCTAATAGAGCCATGTAACTGATGGCTGGCATGCAAGCATTTAATTTGAATCAAACGGTCAATTTAGTGACCTATTACAGACTGTTACAGTTACGATGGATGGATTGAAAAAATTCAAATGATTTTATCTCAGTTCACAAAAATGCAACATTGAAGAAACAAGTTAGAAAATACTGGATGTTGCACTAGGAATGTTCACACGATTTGAATTTGAAAACACTCTCCAATTGATATCACTCAGGATGTGTATGGAAAGCTAAGATGAAGGGCACATAAAGGAACCTGGAGAAAGAACAATATTTAATGAAGATAAAACAACCAGCAAGAAATGGAAAAATCAACAATTGACAATATACAATATAAAATACAATCAAATAATGTGAAATAAACATGTATATTTTCGAATGTCATTATATAAAGAAGATACAGAGAATAATATAAACAGAGATGAGTAATGAAGGATGAAATACCCACATGTAATTAAATATTAATATATTAAACCTATCCCTAAATTATGTGATTTTAACCCTGGGAACCTGTCATAACAACACAAAAGCAGTTGAAGAAATTGTTAACTCCATGAAAGGTGGTGCATTTGATTGCAATCTGACGAAAGCGGACCTGTTAATATCTATTGTCTTAATACCGTGCTGTGATTGGATTAGAGGCTTATTAGAAACGTGGAGAGATTCTTAAAGGTTTACGAGAAATTAATGTCGAAACCAGCAGGATACAGAATTGACTTGGTGGTGTTTGTGTCTGGAAAGTACACTCCGGTGTGACCAAAAGCAAAAAAAATTGAACAAATCTTAAGAAACTGAGTTACTGAAAAAGTGTGACAAATCACATAATAAAGAATCTCTGGAACAACTGAAACATACATGGAATGAACAAAAAGGGAGTTTCTTGTGGTATGTATAATTATTTCACCCAATAAGAATAAGGTGTGAGAGATAAACATCAGTCTCCTCAAGGATGGAATTCAAATTAGTTAATTCGCCCAAAGGCATTTGCTTTATAATTTATAGATTAATTCATTGAAAATAATAATTAAATTGCAAATTAATATTTTGGATCAACACTTCTCTCAAATTAATGAATTTCTTTTGGCATTCTGTATTTTGAGATAATATTGTGATATCCTTGGAAGAAAATTGACAAATGACAAACAATATAAATACAGACAATAAAATTGTTTCAGTGTAAAAGAAATCAAAACAAGTACAGTTTACAATTTATTTTAAAAAAGAAAATTGTGACAGGCATTTATGATACAAGAGAGAATTGAAGTGTTCATTTGCTAAAAGAGAGTTGCAATGTTAGAAAAAGTGTTTCTAAGCTAATAGTGGCCATAAAGAGGACAGGTGTTTCTTTGATGAAGTGTTCGGTATCAAGAAGAAATGTTCAATAAAGGGACATGTTCATTAAGATGTGTTCATTTAAACAACCTGTTCATAAGGAGAAATGTCCATTAAGAAGAAGTGTTCATTAAAAAGAAACGTTCATTAAGGTGAAATTGTCATTAAGCAGTAATGTTAATTAAATACATAGCTAATAACCTCGAATATAATGTTATTATTTCATACTTGATATAAGAAATTTATACTGTTATGTATGCAACACATTAAATGCATATCAACATTTTATATCAAGATCAGATATTCCCTAATGTTTGCTAGTAGGCATGTCAGATTTATGTTGTAAATTCCAATAGTCTGATAAGTAGAAGTAGTCCAGTCACATGTAACATCAAGACCAATGGGGAGAATTTAATATACTGTTGTAGAGATAGTTTTTTATGGTTTCACTTCTCAAAGAAACTTGGATTTTAACATTAGTTTCTTGAGCTTCATGGAATCAAGAAGTCGACTTGGAATAGCAATTGTAAAAATAAGAACGCATGGATGATCTAGATACAGATAAAAAAATTCTAACTATGAGAAATCATATGTAAGTTTATTTTTATATATTTCTTACTCGTATGTAAAACACTCAAAACCTGTCATGATTACCCCTTCTAAAACAAGGTTTCTCCATTGGGAGACATTGGGCTATACATAAATACTTAAATGAAAGGGAGGGAAGGGTGAGGGGCATTCAGAACCCTGGATTTTGACCAGGCATCTTTGCAAGATTAACACTTTTGCGGGACTGATCTTTGAAATGTTCATTTTTGATCATTTGTTTACTGACATTTAAATGTTTAAATCCTGAAATGTTTTGTCATCTAATAAGTTCTATAACAAGACCATTCAAACATGTTGAACATTTACAATTGATTTAGACTGGTTTTTGGTTTTAAAACCAATTATGCTAAGAGGCGTCACATGAGCTTAATAAAATCATGTCGTGTATAGTCTCTTAAATAAGTTCAATTTCACACTTACTTCATTTTATTTATCACTTTGTTAGACTTGTATGAAAATTCAATTTGTATTATCAGGGTAGTGTTATAAAGTGGTATAGGGTTACCAAAATCTATTTATTGTTTGTTTTGGCTTGTCTACTAAAGCCTATTGTCCTTATTGGATTATCGCAGATTATCTAAATCATTTGGAATATTGCTGCTATGCAGAGCACAACGCTGAAACTTTGTTATTTTAGAAATATTTGACTAACATTTTTTGATGAAAAAGGAATAATACAAGAAAGTTGCAATGAAAAATAAAAAATGAATAGGATGATGAATGTGCATCAAAGTTATTGAACAGCCCTCGTATTGTACGTTCTCAAAGCTCAAAACAGAAACAGAGAACATGAGACAAGAACAAAGCATATAAATGTTCCACTTTAGCTGGAAGGATACACCTTTTTGTTACTCCTTTTGTTAAATGCATGAATTCATTAATAGGATACATTTTCAATATGCTGATTCTGTCAGGTAAGACCTTAGCATTAAGCTTTTTGTTCTGGTCTGAGATTACAAAAATGGAAATACAGTATGTGAGTATTAATTATTAGAATGCCAGATGTATTTGAAAATAAGGCTTCTATAGATGCAGAGAATCATTTGACATGTCATTTTCAGGTTGTCTATTGTTCACCTCGAAGTGATCAATCAAGTAAATCATTTGAAATGGAATCCTGATAAATTCACCATTTCCATGTTAATATATACCCATGGATGACGTTTTATGAAAAATGCTTATTTCACACAAAAAGAGGAATAAAGAGTACATTATCAAGGAAAAGGGTGAACTGATATTGAGTCAACCTTCTTGAAAGTATACAGCATATATTATTGAAAAGGAAAGGTGAGATTTTAGAAAAAGATGAAGTGGAAAGAATGTCATTTACTTGATGTAATTAATATTAGGGTTGGGCTTGAGATGGTTTTACTTCTCTTCTTTCAAAAGTAATAGTTGAAAGAAAAATACAGAATTATTTCAGAACTTATTTTTATATCACATTTGTAATTGTCAGATAAGTAAACTTGAATTTGAGTCTACATGCACAGAACAATGATGC